GCGCGCGGAATAGAGATTTGAATAGGCATGGCGCGGAAGGGTTGCGCCCGGCCAGCGAATGTGCAAATGCTTCTTTTCGGCCGGCAACACACCACCTCCCGGTACACTAAGGGTTTCAACTTGTTGTGTGTCGTTGTAGTGGTCTGCTGCACTCGGGACTCTTCAAATTCCGAATGAATGCAGATTACGTCAGCCCAATGTATTCGCGAATTGTGGAGTAAGGGGACGTTGAAACTACTACTGCGTTTATTTTTTCGCCGAACAAAAGTTTTTCGACGTTTTGCTGTAATTAAAAAATATAATATGAAAAAAAAAAACATGCCCCAACCGGAAAATAGCGTCTAAACAACAATGCCAATAAAGGGGTTGCAAGTAAAAACAAAAACTATGAGTGCCATAGTCTTGAGGTCTCTTTCTGCAAATGCAATTTTAAAATCTACCCGTGAATAAAACGCAGGGAGCGCGTGCGAATGTAAAAAATAACCATAACCTAAGCTATTCGCAATGAATTGTGCGAATAAATAAAAGAAACCGGTCGCGTTCGGCGCAAATCTCAGGTTGTCTTCTCTATGCATCTCTCCGTCCATGAGGGTCGCGTTTGTCTACTCGCGATTAGTTTTCCGCAGAATCTCGCCCCGGCATTGTTCGCGAATGCATATTTTTTTCATCGGCGTCCCCATCGCGACGCGTTTGATTGTGCGCCCATTGTGTGTTCTATTAAATGCCCGCTGCCCTTTTAAAATAGCCACACATGTGTGCAGACTTGCGAATACAGGTTTTCTATTTAGGTAGTTTTTCGCACCGAAGGGTACATAAATAGAAGCCAGCGCTTGAATTGGCGAATCCGGCGCATGAATCACATGTGAATATTTCTGCGTGCGTTTTTTTTTTTCTTCAACGCTGTACCCGTTTAGATCCGATCCGCTGAATGCTCTCGCCGGGCATTCAACAAATTGAACTTGAACTTTACTGTACTTTAATTATGTGTGTTTGCTTCGAAACTAAGCCCTGCGCACATTCAATAGAAAAAACTTATAGAGAATGAGAAGTGGTTTATTAATGGCGTATTGGAGAATTTGCCAAACGTAAAGGGGTTGCGAATTTTTTTTCATCGGAGTCCATTGTGGGCTTTGTCTACGTGAAACTAGTCGTACTAGAATTTCGCGTTTCGGTATTTACATGTGAATTGTGTCATTGACGCCGTAGATTGCAATTATTCCATTCCTGCGATTTGTATTCCGGCGGCGTTTGTTGTTGTTGTTTTGCGCACGCTCGCTGGAAAGCAAAAGTGTTAGTCATTCACCAAACTAACCTACGCCAAAGCAAACTAACACTGGCCTGCGGCGATAGATGATGCATTTCGTTTATAAAAATAGACGTGTCGTATATTAATCTATGCATTGCGGCGAGGACCGGCGGCGCGACTCGCCGGCGCGCACACACAATACACACATTCTGCCAGCCGCAACCTTGAACGAGTTTTTTCACATTTTCACACTATTTGCCTATCAATTTTTACCACCAGGGCAATAGTTTTTCATTTCATCATCTATTGATTTGCCCTAGAAATTTAAATTCTCCCAATATCAGCCCCATCTAAAATTAAACTATTTAAATTTAAAAATATTCGCATGTCCTTGAGTTGTAGCGGTGGATTTCGTTCGGAACTAGATTTAGTTTTCTATGGCGTATCCTAGGTCAGTGTTGCACGCCCATAAAACACGTTTCTATTCGTGTGTAATTTTAGAAGCATGTGTCATCGGTTCTAACATTGCGTGGAACCATGAACCTCACCCACTGCCAGGACGATGACGACGACGGTCTGCGAAGTCTATGACCTAGTGTATGTAAGTAGCTAAGTTTATTTTTTCGCACCGCAACGTAAACAAACTCGTCTGCGCCAGTAATTACCATGTATATAAAGTGTAAAATTTGTTTTGTTACTATTGTAGCGCTGAATGAATCCTGCTGCTGGGTGTGTCTGTGAGCATTTGAATACCCGCTAGTAGTTTCGTAGTAATTCGAGGCACGCTAATAAAATAGACAAGGAAGGCCCAAGGACGCGGTTGGTCGTTGACGCTCCTGCATGTGCGACGCGCCGCCGTCGATGTGTGTGCGCGAGGCGTCTAGCGAGCGTCTAGCGTCGGTGTCTAGTCTAATAGGCAGGGCAGAGACCGTCCAGGGTCTGGGTCTGGGTCTAGGTCGGCGCGAATAGTTTCTCGCACGCATACACAACGAAATTAGATCCAAACACCTCCTAACGAAATAGACAACAGCGTTGTGCGCGCTGGCAAGAGACCCAAATGGGAATAATTAACTGCAATCTTTTTTTGCGTTGTTTGATTCCACGCTGCAGCGCCCTGAGTCACACACAATCGATTGTTTCACGATTGCAAATTGCGATCGGAAATCAAGCGCGCACACATAATGTTGTGATTGCGCGGTGTGCGCGCGAGATGACCGTCGCCGCAAATGTCCGCAATCGTTATCGCCGTGGGCGAAACTTTAATAATAATAATAGGCAAAAACTCGGCGCGGCCCACACGCGGCGCATTGAAAAGTAATGCAAATGGCGGTGATAAGCAGCAGAAGCCAAAAGTGGACGAAATCCAAATGAGGTCGGATAATAACTTCGTTTAATCCGTATCCGCGCCGGCTTCTAACGAATCCACACCACAACAACAACCGAAATTCGCTTTTATTTGCATTTTCATTGCGCGCGATTTATGCGCAACACTTTTAGCTGAAGTTTCGGGACAACATGTCTCCCGATGAACGACCGCAAACGCAGCTAAATATAAAAATTCTATTCGCGTAGGTTTTCGCCAATCTACATGCCAATTTTATTTTGCTTCGTTTTTGAAGCGGGCGGGTTGCACGCGCTGCACTTTTCGTTTTCTTTGCGCGCTAAAAGAGAGAGCTGCGGTTGTATAAGCAAATAAGTTTCGGGTGGGCCAGCGAGGGGCACCCGGGGGGGAACAGGGCCTGCTCCCAGCAGCGTCCGCGACGACGACTTCGAGCGCGCCGAATATGTTTGGTGTAAATTCGGCGTGCATTGACCTTGTTTTCGGCTGCGGCGAAAAAATAAAATGACGCGGTGCAGCAAGCAGGCCAGCGGGTCGCGGGGAGGCGGCGGCACGCATTCACATCCTGCACAGAGAAATCCACAAAAAATTACATATTTCTATTGCTAATCAATTGCAGAAAAAAAACAATTACATTTGCCTTGATGGAATACCAGGGGAAATTTTCAATTTTGACCCCTCATTGCCCTCCTACTGCTGCTTGCGCGTTGTTTCTTCTTTTTTCTCCTCACTGGCCGCGCCATGCGCAAATAAAAGAGTCTACGAATTACGTACATGGTGAGGCATGACGTGGTACTGCTCTCCGCGCCGTGGTCTTCAGCAAGCGCATTCTGGGCTGATGGGCATGTCTAAATTTCGGCTCGGCGGGCGGCGCGAGGAGTGCATGCACCTCCGCCGCACTTTTCGGGTGTACCTGTACGCCTATGAATTCGCGACTCGCGACTGCAGCGCCGCGCGAGAGCCGAATGTGCCCGCTCTCGAATAATAATAAAAAAGCGGTCCTACAAGTTTTCGGCGGACGGGCTCTCTCACACACAAGCGCGCACGCCTAGCGCTCCGCTCGCCTCTTATTGCTCGCGCGAAATTTCGTGTATAGTTTGCACCGAAAAAGGGGTAGAGCGCGAATCGCCGACCATTGTGCGTTAGAGTATTTACTAGACCATCAAGGTGGTTAGACGAAGCCGTACTTCGTCCAGAGACGGGAACGCAACGCGACTGCGAACTTTTCTGCGAGTCTTGCTCGAACACTCCGCCGCTGCATTTGACATTTTCTACGAATTTATTTAGAAAATTTATTTTAAAAAAAGTTTTAATTTTTGGTGCCAGAGAACGGACACAGTGCAACTTTATTTTAACTTAACTGGAAAACAATTCTAGGACGACGATGACGACGCCTTTTCGACGTTTTTGCCTGCACTGAACTGTTTTCTTCCCGTTTTCCGCCCGTTTGAGAATTTTTATTTACAACACCCAACACTGTAAGTTTTTATTTTATTTTTTTTGAAACTTTATTTATCGCGCGCATATGCAGCTGAGTCGTTGCTGAATTCGCGACTTAACTTTCGTCTAGCTGCGTCTCGACTAGCCGCGCAAGAAGTTGCGGATTGCATGCAAAGAGAATTGTAGAAAAGTAGGAGTTGCCTCCTTCTTAGACCAGTTGCTCGTAAAGCTGAGCGCGTTTTCTTCAGCGAAAATCAAGAAAATCCGCGCAAAAAACCACGCATTTGCTAGTGTCGCATGTAGTATATCGAACGAGATTCGATTGGATTGGATAATTTATGTCGAGAGTTTGTGATAACAAAAATTACAAATTGTTATCGTAAAATTGCGTTTTGCATTTGCATACGAGTAGGTATTCAATTCGTTTTTCGTGTGGTTACGTGCGTCGCAAACGCGAGATCGTGAAAATGCATTTTGTTATTGATTGTCACGCATCGAGCTAACGAACGCGCACAATGCACGTGGGCAGCTGGCCAAAAACGAAAAATATTATATGCCCATTCGTTAAATTATCAATTGTAAGCAAGCTAGAGGAGCTGCATAAAAAAAGTGCGACGAATATTCACGAAGTTTGAATACGCGTATAACCAGTTGCATGCGGCTGAATTTTGCACCAAAAAACGCTTTGTTTACGCGCTCATACACACGCCGGGGGTGGTGACGGTGGCGGCGTGAGGCGGCGGCAGGGGAGCGCGCCCGCACACGGGGTGCGTGCTGGCGTGCGCACTGGTCGGACGAAACATTGTGCGCTCATAAACTGCGCACTTTTTTGTGATTACCAAACGCGCCGCCGGCCGGGGGTGTACAAGACGCCGCACGCCGCGACCGCGTGGCACGATTACACGCGCTCAAATTGAAACCAATGTGCAGCGAAAAACGTTGATGAGTGCGCGTGTGAGAGCTACCCTTGAACACTAGAACCCTACATTGGGTAAGTCAAATTCTATCTTCAATCAAATTCTATAAACACACAAAACGGAATTGCAACTTTTAAATCTGAAACTTTTCACGCTTTTTATATTCCTATAATGCATGTGCTACCCGTCAGTTTTGTTGCTTTTGTTTTCGTACAATTGTCATTATTTCCATGCATGCCAATCAGAATAGAGTATCCTGCGAGCAGATGACTGTTTCCATTGTTCGGTAAGTAAATCAACACGAATTATTCTGATCCGCACCGTAAAATAGTTGTAAAATTCCGTTTTGTCCACGTTTTCCAAATATAAAGTCACCCAGAGGGCGCCACTCTGCAAGCAAAGAGCGCAGAACATCTCGTACCTGATTATTTTTATTAATTTCATATGATTTTTTTGTCGTTTAGTTCGCTCGAGTTTGAAAGTTGGCTAGAAACATATTCGCGATAATAAAAAAAAACTTGATAAAAGTGAATTAAAAGGTCACGAGATGCGCATTTTTTTAGATTAGTTGCGCGTATCATAGTCGTAAATTAAAACAGTTCTACTGTAACAGACGCTCATTTGTGAAATGCAAACAAACGATTTTCAACGGTGTTCTTATCAGGCGCGTTTTTAATTGAAAATGAGATTAGTAGTTGTTAATTGTCGAAAATGACAATTATAAATATTATGTGCTATAAGTGTATTATTTTGGAGCGGATATGATTTCTAACATTACATCCGTGAGTGTAGGTGTGCTGGGGTGGCTGCGTCGCCGCCAACAACATCCGTGGAGCGCGACATAAATACGTGCGCAAGTCGAGTTCTCGTGAGCGACGGAGACGGCTGGGTGGCGGCAGCGGTGGCGGCGGCGCCCGCGCGCGAGCATATAACGCAAAATAAATACCGGAATAAATTCGCGAAGGGGCTCTCTTTTAAATTTTAATCAATAGTATAAAAGCAAAACTAGCTTGCGCAAATCGCAACAAAAACATATGAAAGTACTCCGGGGCCGCGAAGCGCCCCCACTCGCCGCCGCCGCGCGCACCGAGCGCGCCACGGCCATTTTTTCCTATCGATTTTCCGCTCCTTCGCTTCTTCCGCTAACGCGCTCGCCTATAAAAAAACATCAAAAATACGCTAACAAACGTACATCATATCGGGATAATTCCGGGAATATTTCAGCCGCCGCCCGCGCACTGCGCAACTAAAAACAACACACTCTTATGCGCATACAATTTAACGCGGACAGTTGTCCACGACAGGAAGTCTTTACAATTTATTGCATTCATAGTTATCACTGCATGAATACGTAATTAAATTATTTAGATCAATTAGACTCGGCAATTAGATGATTACGTATCTGTTCCCCATCACAATTCCATAGAATTTTCGCTATCGCGTTATCCGTGGGGTCGAATAATAATGCATTGATACATTTTTTCCGCCTAACAATCGGTTCACTTTATATTTCGACTTTTTTTTTATCGCGAGCAATTTTTTTCTTGACAGTATTTTAAATATTTGCGGTGCGATTATGAATTTGCAGCAGTTTTTCTAACCACCGGAGAGGTGTTGCGAGTAATTGAAGATTAGCTGCTTGTTGTCTCCGATAAAAAAAAAACGCAACGAATGACGAGTGAATCACGCCCGCAGACTGAAAGCAAATAGTGTGCATACATATTTTGATATTAGTTATGTTTATTGTGTGTTAACACAGAGAAAAAAGCGCACAAACAGCAGTCGTCTTGCAGTTGATTTTATTTTCTCCCAACGGAAAATTACGCCTCGACTCAGGTGTGCATTTATTCCCAACGATTGATTTAAATGAAACAATTTTTTCATGTGGAGGTTTTACGATCATCGAGCTGTGAGTAATGCTGATCGCCGATAATTGCACGCAGATAAATAAATGAGCGACAATTGTGCACACGCTGGACCGGTCTTTAGGTCATAACAGAGTCATCAATGTTTTCTATGGCCAATTATGTAAAGATAACGAAGTATAACGCATGAAAGTAATAAGAAAACATGTCTTGTTAGTTATAGAATTGTTTTAATGTTAGCTAAACCCATAAATCATCATCGTTTGACCCATTTTTCAACAATTCTTGCGATAAATTCAACTTTTTCACAGCAGAAATTCAAGTTTTTGAATGCTACTCTTATGCAGCTTCTCTTTAGTCTCTAAATCTGAAATCAACGCGACTGGTGCTCGTATGTAAGTAAGTCTTGTAAGGATGCCGGAATTAACCGCCCGACGACCAGCTTCTTTCTCATGCGTACGCGTCTGTATTTTTTCAGCGCAAACATTAGATAGCAAAAAAAAGCGCCAGCCGCATTTTTTTTTTTTTGCATATAATCGAGTTTCCCTGTGTGCGTGTGTTCGAAAAGCGCCCCACATTGTGTCATGTCGCACTTTTTTTATTGATACAAACGCGTGGATACAACACGTCAATGCGGCGCGCACTTTATTTAAATATTAGCGAAATGTGGAGAAACGTTAAATATTAAGCGCAAACATGTGTCTGCGGGAGGAGAAAAATAACGGTCTAGCTCTCGGCTAACGCATCTTTTCCACCACGCCGCGGACATTTAACTTTTTTTTATACACGTATCATAAACGGATTTGCGATGATATCAGGCGATGCTCACGTATACAGGCTGTATTTGTGTTTTTTTTTTCTCGCTCCGAAGGCAAATGTTAACATGCAATCACGATTTATCTTTATTAGTTAAATAGGGCACAAGTCGGGTCAATTATAAATTTTTGAATTGCAAAAAAATGCAATTTAGGTGTTAAAAATCCGAAAAAATAGAATTTTTTTCGATTAAAATTCTCGGAAATTTGAATTAAAATGCATTATTATTCGTGTCTCACAGTTCGTCGTGGCCGAAACAAAAAATGGATGTAAAACTAACCCAAGGTCGGCTCACGGTCGCACTAAATCTAAAAAATTATTTGCTTTATTTACACTGTTGAAGCGAATAGCGGCGATGGCGGGCGACTGCAGCGCGAGCGAGCCACAAAACGACGCATTGAGATAAAAAAAAACGTCGTCGCAGATAAGGCCAGACGAAACGCGCTTGTTTTAAAAAGTGAGAGAAGTTACAAAAACTTCAAACACACGTCGAGAAAATTTTTGCTGGCGCTTTCAATCATCAAAACTATATCGCCGCAGATCAAATAAATATACGCGCTTGGATGTAAAGAAAGAGTTCACTGATTGGAAATGTTTAAATAATGCAATCAATGGTATTAATACCAAAAACAAACATGAAACACACGCAGAAATAAAAAACAACAACTATAAGCGCGTCGGCACGCTAACGAAATATGCTAATACTTGGAAATAGTCGGAAAAAATAGCGAGTCTATTGAACTCGCGGCGAGGTTTTTTTCGGGCGCAACAAGCATTCCAGTCAAAACAAAACATGGCCCGGGTCCGCGGACACATGTGTGGGTGTGTGCCATCGTCGAAAACAATTTTGCGCCGGTTGCAATCGAGTGCGATTTACTATTTCACTAAATGATTCACTAAACACCCGAAAAATTGCCCTAGTGACCGTGATTTCAAAAAAAAAAAAAGAAAAAAAAATTCAACTCGCGACGAAGTTGTTTGTTGTTTACGAATATGAAAACGAATATGAATGCACATGCACAAAGGAAAATTACTGTGTTGCGGGCGTGCATTGATTCCTTTCGGTGTTTTTTTGCGCGCCCGCCAAGATCGGATCCGAGGAGCATTCAACTTGTGTTGATGTTATTTTCTATAACTCTAACTCTTCTGTTTTTGTCTACTTTTCCTCGGCAGTCAACAACATCTTACTTTTCTGCAAGCGCTCGATGATTACTAATTAAAATAGCGCCGCGCCACGTTAGATAAGTTTTTGAGTGAATTTCTTTCTGATTAGTGCTATCTGAAACGCGACTAAATATAATTAAATTAAAAAAAAAACTTATGCTTCGAGAGGATGCGAGCGAGAGCGAAAAAAATACACATACGTACTTGTCCTTGGCGACGACTTATAACGCTGTTGACTAATTTAGTTAAGTTAGTGACAATAATATTAAGTAAATAAAAAATAATATGAAACCAAATAAAAAAAAACTTCGTAGAAACGCTGTCATATATTTGTAGATAAAAAATATTCGCAATTTTTTTTGAACTTTGATAACACTGCACATTTTTGCGCCTAGCTGTACAGATTTTAATTTTACTTTTATCAAAGTTTTTTTTTTACTGATACCGCGACTCGAGAATATAGTTCGATATTGAAATATTTTTTATAATTTTAATTATGATAAATTTGAGTTGATTTGTGCTTTTGAGGATATGCAGTGAAATCTGCGTGAGCCGTGGAAATTTTTGAGCGCGTGTGTGCGTGGAGAGGGTGGTGGAGGCGCGGGGGATGCTCGTGGCGGCCGGGAATAACTGCCGGGGGAAAATAAAGATGAAAACATTGCAGGTTTTATTACGATATTGATTATAAAATCAATAAAATATGGCCCGGCGAAACGAAAACGGGAAAAATAGCCGAATCACATTGGCATCGCTGTCGGGAGTGCGCCTGCCTCCGCTGCCGCCGTCGCGTAGTATTTATTCCGCTGTGCGTGTGCGTGCGCGCCCGCCGCATAGTGGCGCGCAAAGAAGAGAAATTAAAATGTTCATGCGCGAGGCACTAGCACCCAGCCACCCCCGGGCGCGCGCACGCACAACATCCGCATCCCGCCCCCGACTAATACAGATACATTTGCAAGAAGAACGCGTAATGATTTTTTGGGGTAAAATTTAGTTGAATAACGACGTCGCGTGGAACGGGGAGACGCGCGGCGCTACGCGACGCGAAGCTGATGAAGGGTCGCGCGCGCGTCCCGGCGGTGGCGGAGCAGGGTGTGGGGGGAGGCGGCGGCGGGAGCGCGCGGAAGAGAGCGAAGTGCTCGCGAGGAGGGTTTTTAGTATTAGCGCATTGGTATTAGTAACCGAAGTAAAAGTGTACCACCCATCAAACGCTAGCTTGGCGTGGGGGCGGCGGGGGCTGCGAGCGCGAATTAGGGAATAGGCAAAAATGAAAGAGGTACAAAGATGCATGGAGGGGCGCTGGAGGTGCGTGCACGCTCATTAGCCTATCGTCCTTTCTAGCCTATCTTTTCATCATCCAGGGGCGGCTGGATGGCTACTAGATGCAGTCATCTATGAATCTATTTTTTAATAAATTATTTATTTATTATAATTAATAAGTTGCGTGGCGGGTATTGTGATGGTGGAACTGTAAAATGTGGCGGATGCTGAGGGGGGCGGCGCGCAGCGAATGTAACTAGCGCTCATAAAAGTGCGTTTATCATCGCTCGCGCTTCTTCCAGCGCGGCGCAGCGGCGGCATCATTCTCTATTTAATTTCATCGTTCGATCGTTCCTTTTCCGCGACGGCGGCGGCGGCAGGGAGGGGGCTCGCGAGCTCGCGTAATGTGTTTTTCCTCTTTTTCGGGCACCATTTTTGGGCGGCGGGTGCGCGCTCCTTGTCTACCGCTAATACCGCTGCGAGCGAAACCGCCCCCCGCGTTAACGCGAATAACGAATAACAGCAAAGTAAGAAGAGAAAGAAGCGGCGGCGCGGCGAGCGCGCACACCGAAAACTAAACTAAACACGCCGCCGAAAAGAGGATCGAGGTGCGTGCGTGCCACTTGAACACGACGAAGACGGCATGCACTAAAAATGTATTAATGTGCGGCGCGGCGCCGCGCGCAAAAACGCGCGACGCGCACGGCGGCGAAATCGCGGGCGCCGCGCGGCGTATAGAGATGGTATGTATATGCATGTAGTCGTAATGTGTTGCGCGTCCCCGCCGCCGCCCGCCAGCCACCCCCACCTCGCTCGCTCGCTCGCTCGCGCCGCACTCCACGCTGCTGCCCCCCTCCACGCGCTACACCGCACTCCGTCGCGCTCGCGCTCGCTGCGTTTTGACATTTTTAATTGCGGCCCTGTACTCTTTATTCTGCGCATTTTCATTTCGCCATCCATGCCGCCCGCCGCCTGCCTATCGCCCCGCGCGCGCCACAACACACGTTGGCGAAAAAGGGAGGGGTGGGCGGCAACACGCACTATTTTTTAGTGTTGGCTTATTACGGCAGATGTCTCATAGCTATGTCCCAATAAAGAATAACCGAGCGGCGGAGTCATTTTTTGCGCGTTTGAATTTTTAATACAACACCAGCAGTCGCGGCCGCGAGTTGATATGATACGGTGCGCAGTGCGAGCGTGAAGAGTTGTTGCCACCGCGCGAACACACCACCACGGAACAACTTGAACGTCAGTCGTGTTCGGACTTGGAATAAATTAGCAGCGTCGAGCGGCGAGAAAAAAAAAAACAACTTCGCGGAAGCGCGCGTCTTGCACCTTCGCCACTCGGCACCGGACACCGGTTGAACTTCGCCGGCGCCTTCACCGCCAAGACACACGCGACACGTTTTTGGACACGCTTTGCACACGCCGCCACCCCCGCGCGCCGCGGATAAAATGCGTGTGACCATCGTACAGTGCGACGCCACGCGCTAAGGACTATCACAAGTTCGCGTGCGAAGAATGATGGATTTATTTATTTACAACGAGCACAAGAATTATTTTCGTTTCACGTCGAATTCCAAACTCTAAGGTAAATCTGCAACCAATTTTCAACAACCACAACACCATTCAAACACCGGCGAACACGCGTGTTTTCAAACTTTACGAAAATTTCAAAATGCACGATTATTTCTCGTCATGCATGTGAACGAATTAAACGTCACTCAGTTTTTTAAACGTCATGTCAACGCTCAGAAAACGTTTTTTTTTTTTCGACAATCATTTTTTTGTGTGTGTAGTTTGGTACAATCGTATGTTGTTTGGTAATAATCTGCTGACCTTAAAAAAACCTCTTATCAGACATTGCAGATTCACACACAGGAATATCTGTGAACTCATTTTTTTGGTAGTGAGAGCTTATCTCGTTTCTATTTTTTTATTTATTCATAGATCCACTCTATGGTACTTTCATTACCGAAACTAATAAATAAAAATATGATTACACGCGACAATTACACACGTTCGATGAAAATTTGGTCGAATTTTTCGCTATTTTCTGCGTTTGTGTTCGTAATTTCAACGAGTCCATACGTGTACGAGAAAAATTAACGATTTGCAACTCCCCTCTCTGTTTTTATTTTAATCCGGCGCCGACCGCCCCCACCTCTGTCTCCCCCTCGCGTCGTTAAAATGTTCATCTCGTAGATTTTCCGCGTCCGCGTATCCGTACATAATGTACATCTATCACATAGTAGTGTATTAGAAATAATTAAAAATTTTAATTGTGCGCCGCCGCCGCCGAGTCTATGGTCCAATTCCAACCCCAACCACCCCACCACTTTTTGTCCCCACTACGTTTTTGCACTTTACGTTTTATTTGCGTTTTATATAATTTTATATTATGTATTTGCGTATGTTTTATGTATCGCGCGCACGCGGCGGTGGCGATAGAGGGGCGCGGCGGCGCGCGAGAGGGTTATTAAAAAATTAATATCGCTTAGTGTTTGATTATCGCAGAACTAACGACGACCGGCCAGCGAGTCGGAGCAGCGTCTCGCGTCGAGTGAAAACAAAACAAGCGCGCCTTCGGTCGTCGGTGTGGCGGTGTCTTTCGGGAGTTTGGAAGTTTTTTTTTTCTTCGCGCGTTGTGTTTTTGCTTGTGGGTGATTCGTGTGTTGAAAGGAAGGATTCTTCGGGAATGGTAAAGCCCCCCCTGCATGTGTCTGGCCGGCGCACCGCGTGCGGGTCTACTGCGGCGTGCATTGTCGCGTCACGCGTCCGCCGCCTCCCGGCATGCACGCACACACGTCAAGCGGGGACGGCGGTCGTCCGGCGCACACACATCAGCCGAGAGTGTGCCAAGGCCTTCGCGCCTCGCCAGCCTTGCAACGGCCGCCGATGCATGTCTCGCGTTACGTAAGCTCTCCCGCCGCGCAACTACTTCCTCTTTCTTCGCTTCCTTCTTCAGCGTGCTTCGCGACGAGACGCGATCACCTTGAGAGCTTTTTCCTTTTGCGTATACGCGTGCTCACGCATTCTATACGTCATCAACTGTAGACTGCTGTCGTTTTATTTTGCGACCCATTCATTCTTCGAATTTTAATTGCTGTCATTATTGATTTTTTTACCACCCCAAACGGTTTTCGCGTCCCTAATGCATGCGCCGGGATGTTGCGAGGCTGAGCAGCGCTAACAAAGAAAATTCGCGGGGAAGCGTGGGCGCCCGCAGGGAGAAAAATACGCGCGCAGCGCGCATTTCTCCATCTATGAGTGCGCCTCGTAATTTTTTACCCTGCATTCAGAGAGAGCTGCCTCGCGTTACTGTGAATGGCTTAGCGAGAGATGCAAATGCGATATTTTACTGATCATCTACTGATCATTTACATCAGCAATATTTTTTTTGGAAACATGACGCTGACATTCGATATTTTTTATTTCCAGGTGAATAATCATCAACGATGGTAGATACACAACACTTTTGTCTACGCTGGAACAACTACCAAAGCAGCATAACGTCCGCGTTCGAAAACCTGCGCGACGATGAAGACTTCGTCGACGTGACGTTGGCGTGCGATGGCAAAAGCTTGAAAGCTCATAGAGTCGTTCTATCAGCATGTAGTCCATATTTTCGTGAATTACTTAAGGTAAGTGCGCGATCTAGTGTGAAGGAGTGGGGGACAAAGTAAGGTACGAAGTGTAACGGGCGGTTTTATGGTTTTAGTCAACCCCATGTAAGCACCCTGTGATAGTCCTTCAGGACGTAGCCTGGACTGATCTGCACGCGCTTGTCGAATTCATCTATCATGGCGAGGTCAACGTGCACCAGCGATCGCTGTCGTCGTTTCTCAAAACTGCTGAGGTGCTGCGGGTCAGCGGCCTCACACAGAAGCACGTCGACGATAGAGATCAGGTAAGAATTGGGACCAAGGGTGTATAAGATGCAAGGGTCTGACATTCAGGGGTTTTTCAGTTAGCGCAAGTACAAAGCCTCGTGCGTGCCCAACAACAAGCACCGACGTCAAACCATCATCCGGCGTTCCCCGATCGCCTGATGGAGGAGGCCATGTTCCCGCTTCCAACATCACCGCCCCACGGTGCCACCGTCAACCAACTGCTGCGGCGTGCCGCCATGCAACATCGCCGCGACCGTCGCATCAGTCAGGACCCCGACGCCGACCATAAGCGGTCACGCAGCGAGCACCTCAACAACAATAACAACGAGCTGAATCTATCGCATCATGCGCCGCCGCAGACACAGCCCACGGATTTCTCGCCCACAGCGATGAAGCACAACAATATTAATTCGTCGCTGATGAATTCGATCAAGAATGATATCGAGGGTAACGGTATCAGCTCGACGGAACATGGCTCCAGTCCGTCATCACCGTCACCTACAAGCAACTCGCGTGATGAAGTCAAATCAGAGCCGATGGAGATGTTGTGTACAACCAACCAGGACGATCACAGCAATGACTCCAACGATGTCAACAACGACAACGGCTCGAATTTGCCGCAGGGGCCGCACTCTGGCAGCAGCGGCGGCGATCATGACGACCACGACTCCCCCATCGGCAATTACCTCACGCCCACGGAGAGCAAGCTGTTCGCAACCGCCGCCGGCAGCTACAACTTCAGCATGGCGGCGCTCGCCGACCCAACTGGTCTTGGAGGTCAGTATCTACTATTAGACATTCACTGCCATATTACACCCTATCGTATCTACAACGAAACATAAGCATGTGTTTGACGTGATTGCGCCGTCGGGGGCGGGCACACTTGTTGGACGCGGCCGATTCAGGTCGGTAGGTGATGAAAGGACGACACGTAAGTCTGTAAGTCGATGTAAGCTATGTCGGGATCACTGCAGGAATGCGTCTTGGCGCGCCGCTCGCGCGCATGTGTGTGTGTGTGCCGCTCCCGTACGGAAGCGACGAACACGTGTTGCTTCATTCGGCGGCGACGGGCATCCGTTCACATGCGTGGGAATTTACACGTCTCGCGATCGATCGACTTTTCGCACCTTCCGCCCCATTCACAAACACATCATTTCTGAGTACGCTTGGGGTCTAAACGGCGTTTATCTTTGTTTTAGGTCTGAATCAAACGTTGCAAAACTCTGACAGTTTAGCGGGAACGTCTCAAGGTAAGAATTTGCTACATTTATTCCACTTTTTACAATTACATTACGATTTTTATTAGATCTTATGGTTTTAACACATGTAATTTACTTTTCGATTTTGAGCGAACAAACAAATTTTCAATTCTCACCTTTGAACACATTCAACTTACTTTTGTTTTATGCAAAATTTTGATTCTTTTCTCGAATGCCACACCAAATTCAAAATTACGAAGACACAACAAAGAGTTGGCGCAGAAGCGGAAGCGTTCTTTGCGATTTAGAGTAGAAGTTAATGATCGTAGTTAGAGAGCAAAGAACGTTCCCGTTTCAGCGGGGCCAGGGACGCCGGTCCCGACGTCCCGCGCGTATATCACAGGACGTAAACAAACCACCGCCTTCCTGGACCGACGCCAACTCTTTACCAACGCGATTGCGGCCTTTTTGCAACATATAATTATAACCACATTTTTTAAACAAATCTGTGTACTGGAATGTTTTTTAACAAATTGTGTTGTGTTGTATAAGTTTGTCCCTGGTCTGTTTTTGTGTTCGTTTGTTATATATATTTTATTTATTTTTGACTACATTAATTACTTAATTACATTTTTATATTTTTGGGGAAGCCAATAAGAAATAATTTTCTTACGAAAAACAAGCTAAAACGAATCTATAGCCGGTAACAAAAATGAAAATGCAAACGACAAAAATCAAAACAAAAAAAAAAAACAAGAAAAACGAAAGTAGTAAAACAAGATATCCAAAATACAAAAAACGAAATCTCGTATATCTAAAACCAAGCAAAAATCTTTTGAATTCACTTGCATGTTCTGACGGTAAACAAACAATTGGTGTAAAATCAAAATCATACCCAAGTTGCCAAACCTATTGGTCGAAAATTTCTGAGTTCTCAAGATAACAAACAAGTACATAATCTATTATTTTGGGGAGTAGTAGCTTAGGTTAGGTACCAATGATATGAAAATGAAAAGCAGTCAATTTTGCCAAAAATTATTCAAACTCGAAAGTGAATTACCAACACAACTGTAACTATTGCCACTCTAACTTTATCTGACAAATAATCTCTAATGGTATTGCCAATGCATAGTTATCTGCCTTTGTTTCTTTATGATTTTGTTTGATTTCTGATTCAAGTCTGATCTTGTTCATTAACATAATATCGTAATTCTTGCATTTGTGGAGTGCGCGAATCCGAGTAAACCGAATCGCAGCGTGTGCAGGTGTAGTAACGAAACGAAAAAGAAAAGCAGGGAAAAGCAAAATCTCAAAATTTTCATTTGCAATTTCACCTCAACAAATTTTTACGTACACAAAAACTAGCCAAGGATTGACTTAGTAACATAATCCATTGATCTATGAATTTATTAGGTATTAAAAGTGACCAGAAAACATTTTTGGGCTTGGAGTGAGTAAAAATAGATTTGTTGAGATGGAATTCAAAATTCAGTGATTGCAATGTTGGGAATTTAAATTTTGGAGTCCAAGTCTGAAATATGTGGTCACGTTTTCGAAATTTCAATAATTTTTGGCAAAATCGAAAAGACGCGATGAAATTATTCCACATGCACAGGGTTGTACCATTGTCCAGTAATTGAAAGGAAAATTCTGTTAGCCACCTACCTAAATTAGATGACCAAATATTTTGCAAAAAGCGGTGTTAAGCATTAGAGCTCTGTTGAACTTTTGCCGTCTAGGTGTGGACGAGTTCCGATGCCAACCGTGCAACAAGAGTCTCTCGTCTCTGACGCGCCTGAAGCGGCATATACAGAACGTCCACATGCGCCCGTCCCGTGAGCCTGTGTGCAACATTTGCAAGCGGGTCTACAGTAGTCTCAACTCCTTGCGCAATCATAAGAGCATTTATCATAGAAATGTCAAGAACATCAAGACGGAAGAGATACACCCGCCGCACCATTCGTTCTATCTGTAATCGTGCGTCCAGTCGGCGGCGGCCGCAGGCCAGCGCGCGTATCTAGCTTACCTGGGCGGCAAACGAACCCAAAATACGAAAACAAAAAAAAAAAAAAAACTCAACGCGTTTTCAAAATTCCCCCGCCGAGAAAGCCGCATACGCGCGCACGCCTCTGCAAACACACAAAAAGAAGCACATGAGTTTTAAACTGCTAGGGAAACAAGGGTAAACTACTTTAGACGTGTAAGATAGCAATAAGATAGACTGACGAGAAGCAATAAATTACCGAGTGTACAATTGTAGTATAAGACATGCTTGACTCCGAGGGCGTTTTCAAAGCCAAACAAAATTATCACAACCACAACAACAATGTTCAAAATTCGCTGTAGAAGAACAAAATTGGCCGCTCGCGGGAACCACATCGCGGGGTAGTTTTCTTCTTTTATTTCCCAATCGGGCAATGCAAACGCCATTTCAACATACACAAAATAAACGTTAAGCAAATGATGCGGTGGGCTAATTTAGGGTTACTTGTTCCCGGTTGTTGCCAGTGCGAAGGATCAGTCTGCCGCTCCCACTGTCGGCCAGCCACCGTTGCGACGTCTGCGGAAAGATGCTGAGCACCAAACTGACACTGAAAAGGCACAAGGAGCAGCAGCACCTCCAACCGCTCAACAATGCCGTGTGCACGCTGTGTCAAAAGGTCTTTCGGACGCTAAACTCGTTAAACAATCATAGAAGCATTTACCATCGACGACCGAAATAGACCCGAGCCCCCCGGCCCAGATCCCGCGCGCGCCCCCACGTACAAACACACACGATACGAGAGCGGGCGGCGGCGCCCAGCTTGGGGGTGGAGCGCGCGGCGATGTGTGAATTCATAACGACTCCAAAATTCATTGAGACTGATTGCCTAAAACATTAAACTAAACACGTTAAATAACTATCGACTATTTCTCACTAGCTAGCGACGACACTAAGGTATACCACATCCATTCAATCTCTTTCTTTCGACCAGATCTATACTACATCTATTTGGAACGCCACACGACATTTCGAGCGAAATTGCAGTCAAGCTGTCTGATATTACATTTCTTTCAAACTTTTTCTTTTGCTTATGGACTACGAAGCCATGTAACTATTAGAAACTCCTAGAGAAGAACTAGACACTAGCACTACTACTGCGGGAGCGCGTCAAGCGAAATTACTGACGTTCGAAATTTGAATCAATATATTTATTTACATTGTACGATAGTATCTACGAATCAGCATAAATCAGAAATAATAACTATAAGTTTAATTAATATATAATACGAATATATAGTTATATACATAAGGAGGCGAAGGGAGGCGACGCGAAATGATACTGAAATGAGAAAAAAAAGGAAACAATGGACGATTGCTTTAATATTTTTAACGTTTTTTACTTTATAAGAAAAAGCAAAGCTTTGGTTATAATATTTAGAAGCGAAACTGAAATGAGAAAAAGATCTTTATATATACACACGTTTTATTGATTATTTGTAATTAAATATTTATATACACTTTAAAAGCGATGAAAACAAGGGAGAAAAAGCACGAAAACGAAAAAAAAAATGATGATGAAAATATGAGTATGAAGGTGACGAAAAACTTTACAAGGAGGACGCAAACAAAATTAATATATTTTCAAATATATACTTATCTTAACGCATAGATATTATAATTTTTAGTTCATTAATATATTGATTAGTTAATTTACTTCACACTGCATAGGTCGCGTTACAGCTTCATTTTTCACTAGATTTTCGATCGGATTGCTTTAACTTTTCATTGAGGAACTGTATGTGCACTTATTGGACTGAAATTTACGAAAATAATACGAAAGGACTGATTTTTTAAAGGAACTTATATGAATGTGCAATTTGTAGCAGGACGAACCGTTTCGAATCGTTTGTTTTTAGGCTCTGTGATAATTGCGAATGGGTGGGAGAAAAATCTAACGTTGAAATTAAGATTTATTTATATAAAAGAAAGATATTTGAGCAAAAAAAAAAAGAAAGAATTTAGGCGGAAATTATTAAAACGCGATCTCCAAAAACTTTATTTGTTACGTTATTTTTAAGATAATTAAATGTGTTGATAAATGATATATTATTATTATTAATGTTTATTACTTGCTATTCTATTAATTATTATAATTATGCTATGTTTAATATTTTATCAACTACTATTATAGTTTCTTTTATTATATTATTTTCTCGGTGGAGGCTCACTTCCATTATTATTACATAAAGCATTTTTAATCTCATTACACTAGTTATCGAATATTTTGACGAATATGAACGAAGCAAATATTAATTTTTATTGAAGCGCATACATTATCTGTTCGGGGACGCAAATTTCGCACGATAGAGGAGGGAGGGAGGTATATGAGGAATAAATGAAATTGAAAGACTGAAGGAGGAAGGAATGGAAAGCAAGTATTCAAAATATAAAGACTGAAAAATTTAAATTTAACGGCACGCAAAGGAAGGCAGGACCCTTTTGGACTGATTTTTGATGTTGAATATCTAGTAAGTTAGTTATTTTTTATTGTGAAGAAGCATGCGTGCTGCTATGATGAGACGAAAGGCAAAACACTAATTGGCAAACAAAACCAGAGAACCATCCCCCCGCGCGCATATTATATTATTACTCATCACCTTGCTACACCTACAGCATTTAAACGTAATGATTACACTAATATGAATAATATGAATGAACAGATAATCGTCCTGTAAAGTAACGAAGAAGCAAAGCGATCAGATTTCTCAGATTAACCGAACGATTGCTGATTACGATTTTGCGGAGAAGAATAATGACGATGATGTATTCTTCGGTAGTTAATTGCATATTTGCGCATGTCAATAAATGTGTTGATTGATGCAATATATAATGATGATATTTTATGTACTTGTTGTATTTATGTTCAAATATATTTTTACATTGGCGAAAACAGCTTGGGTTTTATTTTTGATTTTTTGCTTGTTTTTAGTTTGATGACGCGGTTTGATTTTTGCGACCGTGTGTTGTGTTGGTATCAATTGCTGAGTGTTGTTTGGCGATAGTAGGATGAAACGTCCCCGAGACTCCACCACCGCCACCCCCTTCTAACCCCTGCCCCCCAGAACCCCTTTATACTACGCACACGACTGTACTACTTTCGTTTTTGTACCATTTTTGTTCGTTTCGCTGATTTGTTTCTGTTTGAGTTTTTTGTTTTTGTTTTTTTTTTTGTTCTGTTTTCAGTTTGTTGCTCGTCCGAGTTGCGTTCGCTTTATGTACTTTTCGATTAAACTTAAAAAAAAAATTATTTCTTAATGGTATCTCGGTCGCGGAGAAGTTGCCACCATAGCGTTCATTAATGCCCATTGCAATAATGTTTTGAATACGAATCATCAACCCCTTGTTTTTTGTTTTCGAAGCACACGAGATTTCTTTTACGTTTTGTGTTCATTCCCAGCCATTTGCCTCTCGCTTTTGTTTCGATCTCCGAGGTGGCCCTGATCGATTGCAATGTCGATCCGGCCGGAAAGTGGCGGCCGCGGCCCCCACTTTCGACCCCCGCGCGCGGCGTTTCGTTTTTCGTTCGTTTCTTATACATATCTACTGTTTAGTTGATTTGAATTGTTCGTGTGATTTGTTCATTCTATTTGCGTTCACATTAAATGTTTGTTGTGTTGTGTTCGTTTCACATACTTAATTATGATTTGCGTGCTAACAACAGAGTCGGTTGAGAGAGTTGCATTTTGTGTTTTGTGGACGCGGTGGTGACTCACGGGAACCGGTGGACGAAACGCAGCCTTCTTTCATTATTATTGATTTCTTACCATTTGATTACCTATAATTTGGTGCGTTTGATTTCTGACCTTAAGTTTTTGTTTTCAAACTCACCCTGTCGATTATTTGGAGGTGCGGGACGCGTCCGCGCGCGGAAATGAATCACACGCAAAATTCGAGACCCCGCGAGCCGCGCGATTGTCGCGTTCGGGTTGTAGGGCTGTAGGGCAGTGCCAGAAAACACGGGGATGATGCTTCAGCTGCAGCAGCTAGGAAAGAGAGTCGGTGGCAACGCGCGCGACCTGAGAGATTTCCGCAATGCAAGAGAGACACACGCGCCCGACATGGCTTGGTTTTTGCTGTTGCAGGGGCCTCGCCCAAGAAGGTGTTCACGTGCCATCTGTGCGGTAAGGTGCTGTGCTCGAAGGCGTCCTTAAAGCGGCACATCGCCGACAAGCACGCCGAACGCCAGGAGGAGTACCGCTGCATCATCTGCGAGCGCGTGTACTGCTCCCGCAACTCGCTCATGACGCACATCTATACCTACCACAAGTCCCGCCCTGGCGACATCGACATTAAGTTCTTTTAGCCGCCCCCGCCCGCTGCAGGTAACCGGCCGGCGCGCCGCCCGCTTCCCTATGGCCGGCTCGCGCGCGCCCGCTGACGCCGCCGGCGCCGGTCCACCACCACCCGAACGGCTCTCTTTCTCTTTACTTTAACAGTTTTATGCGCTCGCGGATTTGTGCCGAGTCGCGGATCAAATGAGGACGATTCACTCACTCTCTGTCTCTCTATCTCTCTTATTATCTCTCTCACTCTCTCTTTTATTAAGTAGTGCCGTCGCGCGGACTGCGCATTCGCGCGCGACTCATTCACTCGCCGCCCCGCGCGCTTTTCGTTTGCCCTCTCCACACCACACCATACCACCACCAACCGACCATCATCACACCACACCACCTGTACCAACGACCACCACCGGCGCCGACTACCACCACCACCACCGCCATCTTTTGTTGATTTGACATTGAGTTGCTTCTTTGTGGGTTGCTGGCATGTGCTTTGGCCACGTGTCCCGCACGCCGCCCCACACCCACGCGCCCCGGCGTGCGTGTGTGTGCGGCGCGCGTGCGTGTGTGTGTTCTGCGGCCGCCGCTGTGAGGCCTCACGATTAGGGTGCGATGATGCTGTTGCAGGCGCGACGCCGATCCGCATGCCGCCGCCGACGTCCGGCGGCATCAACGAGCCGCAGGAGTGCCCGTACTGCCGGCGCACCTTCTCCTGCTACTACTCGCTGAAGCGGCACTTTCAGGACAAGCACGAGCAGTCCGACACGCTATACGTGTGCGAGTTCTGCCACCGCCGCTATCGCACCAAGAACTCACTGACGACGCACAAGAGCCTCCAGCATCGCGGCACCAGCGGCATGCTGAAGCGCCTGCTCAAGACCACTGCCATCAAGAGCGTGCTCGGCCCGCCACCGCCGCTGCCGCCGCGCCTGCAGTGACCGCAAGTACAAATCACGCACTTCTACTGAACGACGACCAGCAGCAGCAGCAGCAGCCGCCGTCACCACCATCATCTCCGGCGTAAGCGACATCCCCTCATAACTATTCCTTTGTTGCATTCGCATTCAGACACGTTTACAAACCAAGACGCAAGACTATAACAAGCAACAAATGAATACAAACAATGCCTCACTCAGATAAGTACTATTTTAATTAAATCACGAGTGCGGATGCGGGGCGCGTGTGCAAGGTGGCGCCGGCACGGCTTTCCGCCACCAGGGGACGCGTCCAGCGCCGCACTCGCTCGAACAAACGATAGGGTCGACGCAACTACCTCATATCAATATATAAAACTAAATGAAACAAATGAACTGTTTATACATAAATTATTACTATGATTATTGCATAAATATAAGCAGAGATGCGTTTATAAGTTGATACAGAACTGTTAAAGACAAACCTAAACGAGATACCGAACACATGCAAACACAAATACGTGAAATATAAGTACAAATTATTTATATAGATGTCAGTACAGTACATACGCAGCAGGGATGTCGAACTTAAATAAATTTTAAAGCTTTTATCGCGAAAGAAGGAAATATTTACAGGTGATTCAGTTTCTTGACCGCGGAAACAAACATATCTCTCATATCACAAACGATTGAAATCTAATTTCACTAAAACATAATCAGCGGCTAGGCGTGAAGGCAAAATGAAAACCCAAACTAATTCAGGATGTGTTTCTCTTGCAACTAAACACGAAATCGTGATTCTGTGATTTTGTTCGTTCATTTCTGACTCTCCGAGTAAGCGAAGAATGCGGATATGAAAAATGTCAATTACGCTATCAAATCGATTTTCACCCCCTTCACAGCGCAAGGAATATCGAAATTTCACGATTTTATAGTTAATCATGTCGCATTTCGAGCGGAGAGCGGATGAAATTTAAAGAAAATGATGACAGAAAAGGAAAAAAATAAGTAAAATGATAATGTATCTATCTGTTGGTGTACTTCCTCCCATCATCGATTTCGATTTAATTAAATCTGTGTTAATTAGCTTTGCGCCAGACGTAGATAGGAAATAATTCGAATTCAAATTGACGTACACAAGACAAGATGGGGTCACAGGGAAACGGGTCCTCACTCCCCCGAGGATGATGAGACGTTGTGAATTTAATGAAATTAAATTTAAGACTAGTTGAACGCTCAAAACTGATTTGTTGGTTTACCACGCGTATTTTTTCTTCATTTTCTTCACAAGCGGGACTTGAAAAGTCTTCCTCTTCCGAGAGTTTCGAACATTTTTTCCCCTAAAATATCTAAATTGATGAAAACAATTGAAACGAGCGCTCATATCTTTCCAGGGTTCTATATAATTGTACATAAATATGAAAAAAAAAACTATTATATACATATTACCTATATAAAATATTAATTATAATTATTACGGATTAAATTGATAAACTTTATGATAACTCGTGGGACAAACACAAGAAAGTGGAGGACGCCGTAGTGGAGGCGCCGGTCAAATGGATTAATACTTAAGGAATATGATGTGCCAATTAATTAACGATTAACGTAATTGATTAAACATTAATTAGTGACTAGGTTTATTAATTTTTTAAGTGTTATGGATAAGTGTTGGCACTAATTGACACACGAAAGTTGAGGAAAATAACTTGAGGTCAAAGACGTAAACGAATGACGCCCACAAGAGAAACAGTAGATTCTTATATTGTTTTCGGTTCGGTTCTCGAGCTCACGGACGGGTTGAAGCTTTCGGCAGCGTTTTATATAAATCAGAACAGCGTGCGTGGACAGAGGAATATCTTACGAGCAGCGCGGGGGATAACGACGAAGAAGGCCTAAAAATATATTTTTGCAAACATGTTTAACACGCGAAAAGACTGGGCGTGTGCCGAAAGCTCGCCGCAAAATTATCATTAACTTTAAATTTACGACGGTAGTAGGATCGAAGATGACGACGTGGAAATTCATATTTTTTGACTGTACTTTAGTGCTGTGAACTTAATGAAACACATCAACGGACAAATTCAGAGCAGTGTGCAGAGAAGTTTAGGTGACTTTCGTCTGATTAGGTTAGCGTTAACGTTTAAGTCCATTAATTGGAGGCGGTGTTTCAGTTTTCGTGTGATAACGGTCGAACCAAACGTATGCCAAAGAGACAAAGCTGAGTTGCACCTCGAAATCAACAATAACGAGAGGAAAAACACATTCTGTGCCATTCGGGACGCAAATATACACAATAGATCAATTTGTAAACGAATTTTTTTAGGACGATGGTCACACTCAACTTTTGTCTCGTGCGTAAACAAGATTTTACGTTGACTCTTTCGCGTAGGTGTAGTTCTAGCTGATAAGATGCCCGGAGGGACGCCCATTATTTGAGGAAACAGCTGTGGGAATTGTTCGGCGTGTCGAAAATTGCGTTTTTTAATTGTTATTGTTAGTGTTTTATTTCGGGGCGCAGATGCTGCGCGAGTCCAAATCGCGGGGGTCTCGACGGGCGCGTAGGTGTTAAGCGACTTTGTTGATTTGTCCTTTTGAATGAATATCATGGCCAAACTAAATTAAGTATAGATAGGACGACGGACGGGACGAGCCACGCTCACTTTGGAAGAGAAAGGACGATGTAAAAATAAAGTAAACACGTACGATCGAGACATTGGGGAACCACTTTTAACATAATTACTTAATTAACGTAAATTGATTAATTAATAAATATATGAGATAAAAGAGAACTCTTCAGTATTAAAATTTGTACCTAAAGGTAGCGGTTTAGATATTTTATAAAAATCATTAGACGTGACACAAGCGAGAAACAAAAAAAAAACATTGAAGGAAACTTTCAGGCAAGCCTCCAGTTTAGGCACACAATGAGAAATATATTCGAAAATTTATCTTTCTATAATAAAAATTAAAAACCATTGGTCTATATATTATTAATTAATTGAATTATTATTGTAAATTGAATAAATAATGTAAAAGAGAAATTAAATTTTAACAAAGAATTAACCTAGTTAAGGAACAAAACGAGGTGCGGGAATTTAAGCGGACAGATATGAGAAAAGGAGAAGAAAAACGAATACATGGAGGAAAAAAAGCGTAGATTTTATTACTGACGAAAATGATCAGATTTCTAGGACCATTACTAAGTGGGCAATTTGTAAAAAGGTGAACGGAGGGTGTGAGGTTCAACATTGGCGTGAATTTAAGTAGAATAGTGTCCGTATTGTCTCTTTACTGTGTATTTTAGACGCTGATGCCGGGGGCGGAAACGCTGCCGGCGCGTGAGGCTAGTTAAATATTCTGATTGCTCCCGTGTGTTGTCATATTCGAAGCTAACCTTCACAGCAAACATGAACAATGAACAAAAAATGCGCGACGAACCGCACCGCGCCTACAACAAATCAAGAGAATCAAACAAAAAACGAAATTTGAAAAAATTTTAAAATCGCCCCCCTTCTTACGTACACATATAAATATGCAACAAGATGCCTTGATACAGTACAACACGAAATAACCAATTTTTACAAAATACTATAACTACATAAGGAAATAAACTAATTGAATAAGAAATATTGAAAGAAATCAACAAATGGATGAACGTAAAACAAAATAATATACCTCAATACTCAGCCAATCTTCAGATGTACTTATATTATAACGTAATATAGTAGTAATTAAGCAAAACAAACGGAAGTGGAAGCAGAGGAAATTGGCGCCATCTTTGAATTCGATGTTTTCGTTACAATGTGTCGAGTCGATTCGCTCGCGCCAACGCGAGAAACAAATCAGGGAAATATATTAGACTTAATAGATATATAAATATATCTTTATAAACTAGTTGCCACACCAGGTGAAAACTGCCATTGCGCGCATGCATCTACTCATCCAATCAAGGTGCAAGATATCATAATCTTACATATCATCCTCCAGCCGAACACTGAGTAACGCATATGTACATAGAATAATAGCCAGCCGAGGGGCGACGAATCGAGCCGACACTTGTTTCTATGAAGTAATTCACACATTCAGCTTTGAGGAGCGCGTGCACGTCCGATGCGGAAGATAGCGCGCATTTGACAGGTTACGACGGAAGTACACCCGCCTCTTCCGGTGATGGACGCGCGCGCCCTCTCTGGCTGGATACACGCGCAACGCGGTACTAATTGTTCTGAATTACAAGTTTTAAGTTACATACGACCATTGTAAAACGGTTAAGATACATATACGATGATTAGTGCTACTAATGACTATGTTAACGGTTTAAGTTATGTTATTTTTGCCTAGATTTACGTACGAATTATTGATTACAATTTTATAACGCTACGTATGTATTTTTACTTACTTCCTAAGTTAGTTGCTACTGCTGTTTTATTAATCATTGTGTATTCAGGATTCAGGATTATTATTATTGAGACGCTCGACTGTTGAGTTTTACATTTTTACGATGTTTTACAGTTTTTCGCAGACGTATTTTTATAAACTTTTAACAACATCTATTGTAATTGATTAATTTTATTATTATTGTACATAGATACTTTTTACTAATTGATTGATTGATTGACTAAATGATTGATGTATTGATTAATATTAATTACTGAATAATGACCTAAACATGTTTATTTTATTTTCGATTTGTACTTTTCTTTTTTGTCACCATACGAAAACAAGCATCGATTGCAACAATCACCACACAAACAGAAAACACACAGAAATAGACTTTTGCGGATGGACATCGGTCAAAAATGGAGTAATTGAGGCTTCATCTATCTACACACGTTTTTTTTTCTTCCTTTGATGATCATTACTTGTTTGTTAATTGTATTAAAGATGGATATCGATATCACTTTTGTTGTTTGAGCATCCGAATATCAAGGTGAGAGGAAGCGGGAAGTGGAAAAACAAAAAAAGCGCAAAAAAATCACAAAAATATAAAATACAAAAACAAACATTACAAAAGTAACTTATATATTATCAATTGATTGTTGGTGTAATAAAATAACTAAAAATTAACTCTATGTATTATTTGAAACCTATTTTAAAAGTGCAATGCAATATAGCTATTATAGCTGAAAGTGAGTTGCATTGTTTAAAAGCATTTATTTCAATCCCAAACAGTACCTCTAGCGCTATCTAGGCGTTGTTGTTGGCACTATGTTTCAAGGTTCATAATGTGCGCAGCCTCAGTCGATTCCTGCTGCGATTTGAAGCGAATGCAGCGCCCTCCACAGCATGTCTACCCAAAATAAACAAGTGAACAGCTGAACGACGACATTACGCATCACGCAGTCGAATCAATATTTCGAACGTTCCGAACGCGCAGCAGTGCTAATAATAACGGAGTCAGCGCAACTTGTTTTTGACAAAAGACGTACGTCAACTAGGTGTAGGTGAAGACAGTGCACGACAATTAATCAACCAAATCGTCGCGTTCTTGCTTTTGTTCCGTCGCACGCTGACTGCGATGTTAGGCGCGTTTCTGCCGCGCCTGCTGCGATGAGCTAATATACAAGGGAGCATCAACAAAACGTCTCTCGTGTCTCACAGGACCGCCGCCAGCATGGAGACCATCGGCGATTACGAGTACAACAGCAAAGACCTCATTGGACATGGGGCATTTGCTGTTGTCTTCAAGGGCAGGCACAAGAAGGTAAGTGTAACGCACACTTCCTGCTGAACTCCGATTGCTTTCATTCTCAACGAAAAAATCGCCACACTTTTTAGGAACCTGGCCTTACTGTTGCCATCAAGAGCATTACCAAGAAGAGTCTTGCAAAGTCCCAAAATCTGCTTGGCAAGGAGATCAAAATCCTGAAAGAATTGACTGAGTTGCATCATGATAATGTTGTGGCTCTCTTGGACTGTAAAGAGTCAACCAACAATGTGTTTCTAGTCATGGAGGTAAGTGTCTTCTTTAAAATAATCAGAGCATGAATAAAAGTATCACATTCAAAGTTTAAAGTTATAGAAAGTCAGTGGCACACAAAAGAAATTCATTGGTTAGATATGGTTAGATGTATATTGAAGTGTGCAGTTTATAAATATAGTACAAAATTATTCAGAAACACTAAATGCTACAAATATTAAGTATCTATACGTGAATGAAGATTTGGACGAGTTTTCTAAGTAGATTTATAAATGCGATTACTTTACATCGTTCAAGTTAGTGTTTGATACGATGACGGTGGAGAGACGACTCGGGTCGTCGATGTCCGGCAAGGTATCCGGATTGTTGAGAATCTCCTTGGTAGTCATCTCAGTACGCGGCTGTGGATTATCCTCTTTGCCATCCACCACAACCACATCCGGCACTTTTTCATCGCTTGATTTTGCTCCATTGGTAGCGTTAGATATAAGAGGTAGGCGTTCCGGAAAGATTTCCTTCATTTCTTTACCCTCGTCGGGTGTATCGGAAGTATTGGTTCCAGCATAGCGTTGACGGTCTTTGTAGACTTTCATCAAACCGAATACTGAACCCATCGCCACTGCACCGATCACGAGCACGAGAATTACGCTTTTTCCAGTTGATGTTGATGCTTCAGATGTTTCTGAAACACACATAATGGTAATTTCGATTAAGAATACCTATTTAATGATTACATTTCATGCATGATTCATATTTTCAGTGGTATTAATTTCTAATCAGTGAATTATTGTCATGCATGATGGGTTTTGTAAAACCTTCAATATTGTCTTTTGTGTGTGTGACTCAGTTACATGAGTAAGATAGAATAGCGATTAGCGATTAACTCACTGTTTTCTCCAATTACAGCGTCGGTAATGTTGATTTGCGGCGGAGTGTCAACCAAAATTTCTTTAACAACTGTCTTTTGCATGGGTTGCTTCGGTTGAATTTGAAGCTTTTCTTTGCTTTCGTTCAACATTGACTCGTGATCATCATGATTTTCGTGTTGATGTTCATCGTGATTTTCAGTTTGATGTTCACCGCTAATTTCCTCTTGATGTTCCTCATGACGTAGTACCACTTCTGATGATGTTGTAGGTTTTTTATCTGTGGTATCTTCAACAATGCTGCTCTCTGGGTTGGGTATCAAAGTGTCAGTGAGTAGCATTGTGTCAACAGATTTTTCGTTTTCTTCAATCATTCCACTGCCTTCATCTTCTCCCATAGGTTCGTCCGCTACCATCATTTGCATTTCCATATGTGTGTCAGGTAAAATCATCTCGTCCAACATAACGTCACTCGAGAGTTTCTCCCTGGTTGGGGAAATATTTGTGAATTTTGGATGTTTGCGTCGCACGTCTTTACAGTCAAACGTCATATCATCATCGATAATCTCCACTTTCATGTCGACTTGTTTGCAGACATACTCCAACTCATCTTTTGATATCTTTGAAATGATGAAGAGCTTCGGGGGCGCTTCGAGATTTTCAAAAATGCCGCATTTTTCGAACTGCAAAGTTTTAATTATTTACTATCTAGCTAACTACATATCAAACAAGGCATATCTTATCATTGGGGACTTATCATTCAGTAACTAACGAACTTATTTAAAGAGTGTATTTTCTTACCGCGATGGGATTGCCGCGTAGATCCAACACCTCTAAGTTTTTCAGCCCACTTAGTGCATTCCTTGAAATCACTTCCACGTTGCAGTTGGACATATTAAGCACGTTCAACGGCATCTCGACTCCGGGGCCATTCTCGGGCAGAACTAGGTCTACGTTCCCAGATAGATCCAATGTTGTCAGATTCGGGGCTGTCTCAATTCGACTCCAGTCGAGTTGTGTGATTGCGTTATTCGAAAAATCCGCGTTCTCTACCGCGTGTGACCACGTTAGGTCCAAGGTTTCCTTTAGACCACGCGCTGACATATTGAGGTACTTTTCGTCGCCGTCCACCTCGCCCTCGGTAATCAATTGCACATCCTGCCCTAATCTGTGTGACAGATTGCACAATCCTATAATATTACGTGTCTTGTATTTAATGATAAACTTACGCATATTGTAGGGTGCATATAAATATCAGCAACTTTCCAAACATTTTCGTATTTGCTGGCTACCGCGCTTGTTGTCTACACTTTTTACGATGCTTTATTACTTTATCGGTGTGAATTCAAATTGCTCTTAGATCATAACTACTTCTCGACCGGTGATTACTAAGTGCGTGCATTTGTACATTGCGAGTATTAGGAGAGTGTATGATACGAATATTTACCTTTTATCATATTACATGATAACCATTATCTGTTTACTTAGACATATAAAAGCGATGTAGTGAGTGTAGCAAACTGGATTATATTTTAATATATAGCACGTTTAGCAGTCAAACCCGATGACTTGAATTTCACATAAATGAGAAAATCTTTCTCCGTCGTTTTCGTAATATTTTGATTGATGCATTCGTTTGGCATATCAATGACTCAGTACATTTTAATGATTGAAAATATATTCTTCTTACTTGCCGCCACAGAACGTTATCTATGTTTGATTAGGCTTATATCAAAATAATAATATTTGTGCGGAAAATACATGCCAGCTAAAGTTTTGGTAGAATTGGAGTTTTTGGAATAAATTGCATTTCAGAATAAGTTTTATGACATCATAATTCAAGGGATTTTATAATTGACTCATCACTTAATCCACTTATTGATAAAATCTGGGGGATATTTTTTTAGTTTAATTAAGTTTTTGATGCAATTGTTGCACCCAGTATGAAAAATCGATTAATATTTGAAACTCAATGCCACTGAGTGCCTAGAACTTTCGATGAATGTACATATGATTAGGTTTCATCAACTATAATTTCTAAATGTTTATTAAACCGCCACATTCCAAAGTCATGTTATGCTATTTATGCTATATATTACTAGGTTGTACTGCATACTATTTTTTTCTGTTACTGTTCACAGTATTGCAATGGAGGAGATCTGGCCGATTATCTTGGAGGTGAGTATTTACTCAATGCTTGAGACTTCGTTTTTATTCGTTGAGCAACGAATTTATCGCGTTGGTTAGTAAGTTAGTATTTACTCTGTAACGGAAGTTAGCGAATATTTCATTTGGTATTTGCATATGTTATCAATTCCGATATGGTAAATGATTATAAGCTCTCATATTTGATTTCAGCAAAGGGCACTCTCAGCGAAGACACAATTCGGTATTTTATAGTACAATTAGCGGATGCAATGAAAGCTTTATACACGAAAGGCATTGTCCATCGTGATCTTAAACCCCAGAACATTCTACTGTCGCATGCGCCGACAAAGGTGCATCCCCAGCCCTCGGAAATTCGGTTGAAAATAGCCGACTTTGGGTTTGCGCGCTTTCTGCAGGAAGGCGTAATGGCGGCAACGCTTTGTGGTAGTCCAATGTATATGGCCCCCGAGGTGATCATGTCTATGCAATATGACGCTAAGGCTGACCTCTGGAGTGTTGGCACGATAGTGTTCCAATGCCTTACAGGGAAAGCGCCTTTCCAAGCGAATACTCCGCAGGCGTTGAAGCAGTTTTATGAGAAAAATGCTAACCTGGCACCAAAGATCCCACCTGGTACCAGTCCGGACCTGAGCGAGCTACTTATTGGCTTGCTCAAGCGCAACTCAGTCGACCGCATAAACTTCGAAACTTTCTTTAACCACAAGTTCTTGCAGCGGCGTGAGATAGCTCAGTTGGCGACTGCTGCTGACCCGTTGCCCATGGTGTACGAGTCCCCGCCTAATGTATACAAGCTCCCATCGCGCATCACTCCTTTGAAGGTGGGAACTCCACCGAAGCCGGTCACTCCAGAGTCGCCAAAGGCTGCTCCTCGAGCACATCTCAGTTCAAGTCCGGATGATGATTTTGTCCTGGTACCGTCAAATTTACCAACCTCTGACAATGAGACCATTAATGAACGTTATCGTCTCGTGCAGGCAGCACAGGCGCGCCTTTCTCCCCAGGTTGCAACTGCAGGCGCGGTTGTTCCAAGTTCTACAGCGGCGGCAAGTCCACCGCGTCCATCTCATCTCCCTATCTCAGAACCTATCCCAGTTCCAACTCAGCGACATGTCTACGAACGCATCAATAGTCAATGTGACCGATCCATGGAGAAATCCGACGAACTCTCTGCGGTTGCTTCACTTGCTAAACCCGCAAGTGTCCCACGCTCTGCTCCTATCAACATGAAGCGCTCTGAGGCCCGTGCGCCTCGCGATATTGACATTAGTTCCCTTTCGCCTCCAAGCGTGCAATTTGTGATTGGCACACCTCCGGGTGGCGGCAGACGTAGGACTTCCTCTAGCAGCTCCCTTTCGGACACTCAGCCGGTACCACCGCAGATGTGGCAAGTGTCTCCTGTCTCGAAGACGTTACCGAAGACATCGATACCATTCAGCACCCGCGCAGTTACGCTGCCAGAGCTTGCTGACGTGAATAACTTTCCGAATTTGTTTACCGATAACAATCAGTTAACGTTTATCGCACCTGATCTGAATGAGGAGACGTTGTTGGAGAAAGAGCACAACGAGACCTTGGCGAAGATTAATTTCGTGCTGGCGTTGAGCAATTGTGTGCTAGAGTTGGCTGCTAACAGATCCACACCACTAAGCGCATTGGTAGATGCTTCCTCACCGGTGCAACCGCAAACAGAGATGGGACGGCGTGCTGAACAGTTAGTTCTCTTGGTGCGTGCCCTACAGTTAATGAGTTCTGGGTTATCTTTGGCTACACAGCAATTAAAGAGTGGCCAGTTACGACCAAGCACGACTGTGAAAGCTGGTAAGTTTTGTTATTCTGTATTCTTCCTCTTAATAACGCAAAGTTTTTCTTCTTTTACAGTCATCGCCACTTTGAATAGCAAGTTTAGATCTACTCTAGCGGAGTGCAAGCAGTTAAACAGCACCGGTTTGCTCGGAAAGGTAGGGTCCGCCAACGTGACTGCAGATAATATCCTCTATAATCATGCAATTCAAATGGTAAGCAATTTGACTTGTATTGGTGGAAACATTGACTAAACATATGTTGAATTGTAGTGTCAAACGGCCGCCCTAGATGAGTTGTTTGGAAATCCTGAAGAATGCTTCCAGCGGTATCAGACGGCACAGATTTTGTTGCATAGCCTATCACAACAGGTCCACAACCAGCAGGATAAGGCCCTTCTTATAAAATGTAAGTGTATATTGTATTAAACTGAAGCAAATTTGTTTGTTCTTTACTTTATACCCAACTATTTATTTATATTTTAGACAAAGAAGCAGTGGAGAAGAGGCTCTACGTCTTGCAGAAACAAGGATACATTATCCAAACAGATCTCAGTTAAAGTTTATATCTGGAAACAGTAAAATATTGATGATTGTGTAAGATTGTAAAATACATTGTAATCTAATAGGCGACTGGCCAAAATAACCGGAAATTCATGAAATGAAATGGGAATTAACCAGGGAGACAAATAGTAACAAAGTAATTGGTGTCCAAACTGTAACACAACTTAATATTCACTTAAGATTAAAGACAAGAATCCATTACGATGTAATCATCTTAATCATGTCTAGGATTTAATTCGACTCAATAATCGCTATTATTAAATTAAGCGCAAAGATTTTTATTTCTATGACACAAACAAACACAATACAAACAATGTGATTATGACTTGAAATGTGTCTTCTCCAAAACAATCATTTAATTCGAGATATGAACGAAAGTCCAGATGAATAACTTGGTTATTAGTTTGTTGACCACATTGTCTGTTAATACTACATCGGAGGATGAATCTAGTTGTAAAATGTGCGCGCTAGCTATTACAAATAAATACCTTTCTTCCAACCATGAAATCATGCATGCAACTACACAATATTCAATTTATTGATATTTAGGCGACGAGTTTTACTAATTATGATTACGTACCAACTTTATTATAAGTGTTACTAACCGATGATTGCCGGTTAATAGCGTTTTGCCTTTACGTTGAATTTATTGTGTAATATCAGCGTTTGTAACAATTAACTTAGGTGAAGAGTGGTTGCAAGGCTTGAGCCTGGCCTAAACAATTGCAGACTTTGATTTTCAACTGATGATGAATGTTTTGAATGTAGCGAGAACACAAAAGGAATGTATGCGGGTAAAGCTAAGCGGAAAGAAATTTGCGCAGCCGTTTTTCTTTCCTTTTATATAATAATAGTTGAATTATCCTTAGAAGAAGGTTGAATGAATTTCATTTTCTGTTGTATTTACGGTACGATTATACATACTGCATAATATTGTGTAGAGATGATAATAACCAAATATAGTTGTTTTACAATCAAGATTTATTTATTTTTAATATAATTTTTTATCATTATTCTTATTGTTAATGTTTGATATGCTGGAGAAAACTTTTTAACTTAAATTTGAACATATATAGATCGATATGTAGATTCGATTTATTGCAGACGGCCGATGTCGCAATGATGCAGGTTTTATTTAATCACAAACAAAGAGTGGGTTGCTGTCGGACGCCGGCCGGTAATAGCTTGTGAACTACAATAATAAATTTGTACAAAGTATTCTTCATCAACCCCAGATGCGCATTTTTCCATCGTCAGGATTTCGGCTTGAAGGACAGTGGGATGTCTTCCCAGCGAGTAAAACTCCTGACATAACAAAGGATGCCCACGCCGATTCCTTTACCCCGGGTCACCTTGGGCGCATTCGCATACCATGCATGAGTTTTGTCCAACTTCCCAATTCGGTACGCACAGTTTCGGCGGTCTTCAATAACCGCTTCAAAGATTGTGTCAAATTCTAATTTGGCAGATAATGGTAGATTTGGTATTTCCTGCCAATATGGCTGCGGATTTTCATATGTCCCAGCATAGGCGTTATGCACCTTAGTTTGAACGCATATATCAGACCTTCTTTTCTGATTTGCTTGTGCAATGGAAGTAGGTCTAGCATGACCTCCATCGCTGCACTTGGGGTTGCTTTAAAACATGTCTTGGGTTTTCTTTTCCTTGGTTTTATTTTACGAGATCAATGAACCACAGGTGATAATGGGTTTGATTATACCTGTATAAGACCACAGAACCATCTTTGGCTATAGTCCCCATGTTTTACCAAATAGCTTGCGGCATGTCCAAAATGCCCATGTTGCTTTTTTGATAGTCTTGTTTAGATGCGGGTTCTATGTTAATTTCGTATCAAGGGTTACTTCTTGCGCCATCGCAATAGTTTGTTCGTAGCGTCAATTGAATCGGCGCAGGTGGCTAACACCTCCTGCGTCGTGGAAACCAACACAGTTGGTGTTTTCGGCTCCGCCTCCGCCTTTGCCTCCGAATCCTTGAGAGGGACCCACTCGTAGAAAGGTACCCCCTCAATTCCGGCAACTGGAATTTAATTTATTGCTGATGTCCTTCCAACACTGGTTCAAATAGTTCGGCGGCATGGTTGGTTTAATTGTGCCACTCCTAAACGCACTATCACTCTCCATCATGGACAGATTTACTTCATAGTGTGCGGCCTAAGCGTTGATTGAACGCTTACGTTTACTAATAAATATAGAATAAAGTGTTTATAAAATATAGAGTGAAGTTAAATAAATATATTAAATAGATTTGACCCTTTCTGTTAAATTCTGCGCTGCAGCGCGATTGACTTTGAGCAAAGAGCGCTCAGAATACTACTTAAGGCCGAGCCGTAACTTCGACGAACGAAGCGCCTCTCAGCTTCGCTTCGTACGTTCCTTACGTGGTGAACACAGAACAGCACCATAAGGGATTAAAATCACCTTCAACTCTTTCCATTTCATTGTAAGAGTGGCGTAACAGCTGTGTGGTACGGTTGCTTCTTACTCAATAGGTCCGCGGTTCAAATCCCGTCCGAAATACACCTCTGCACGCCCCGTCAATCATCTATGCATCTATGCATCTATGAAAAATTTTGAAATTTGGATCGAAATTATGATTTTAAAACTGTTCTGTGTTCTGTAATCCGGGCACTAAACGTATACTTTAGGGCAATCACCACATGATAATAAATATCACACCGGAATCTGTTTTGGGATCTACTTTGTCTTTACAATTTTTAATTAGTTTACCTATGGAATTATATCTTCGCTTTGCTTACCGTGACTCTTGAAAGGAGCCAATGTGGATTTTCTGCTTCTTGAATGTCCAGTATAGGGCGCTGGACGCCAGTCTTGAATGGTGGCGGTTACATTATTGGCACCTCAACACAATGCCGGATGACGGTTTTTAGCTTGTCCGCCGGATTTCTTCGGCGATTTTTCACCTTTAGGTTTCCAAGAAACGTCCCTTACCGCTGGTTCATCCGGCTCCTTCATGGAGATGGCACCAACCCCTGTCCAGATGTCGCAAGCGTGCTGGGCTGTGGGTCAAGCCCTTGCCCTTTCCCCAGCTCCCTTAACGTGATTTGGTCGGAGCCGTAATTGACTTTGAAGCCGACAGAGAAATCTCTTGGCAAGGTACCACGGTTTGCTGACGGAGCACTTTCCACGAGAAGATGTTTAGCTCATTTTGGGCCCCGACTAAAGCAAAGATAATAATTTTGTTATGCGGCATTTCAGCCGCTCCAACTACTCTCACGTGTGCTCCATCCATGATTTGAGTTGGGCTGCTAAGCCCTTCACCCAATCTGCTGCCTCCCTGTTTGCACAGGTAAAACCCAGCCTTCCTGGCCCTTGATGAACCTGCAAAAAACGGATTTTATTGGACCCCTTCCCATTGTAACTGTCGCGTCTAGGATGGTTTCTTGAACAGCCTTTACCTAGCCCTCGTCCATTAGGATACCGGGGAATCCTCTTTAAGAAGGTAAAAGCAAGAGATGCGTAAAGCCTGTGCGACGTCATTTAGGCACATTCTAGGATCGCAAGATAACAATAAAAAGATAAGATTAAATTTGAAATCTAGGTACATATATAGTTAGCAGCCTCAATTATTGATGAAATTATTTTACTTACCGAATAATCGAACACGGTAAATAGAAGATACATTTTTAGATACTGAAATCAAGAAGAAACAAAATATTAGATACATGTATACCATTTCATACCATGTTGCAATGTATTTGAGATCAGTCAGGATCCAATTTTTGTTATTATAGTAGATATAATATTTATATTAATGATAATATTTACCAGGTAACACATTGATCCATGATCATCAGGTTATATCAAAAATGCTTTGCAGAAGCAGCGAACTGGCGTGCACAAATTATCACTGGCCGTCGCCAGACGGCAACGAATTCGCAATTTAGAATTGTGACGATTACGCACCCGATAAATAACTAATACTAGACCGAGCACGTCTATTATCACTAATTCCCGTCATTCGGTAAGGCAATTTACCGAACTTATCAAAGAATAACAATAGTCGAAGGTCAGAAATGTGCCGGTCGTTATCGTACCGATGAAACAAAACAAAATTTGCTCGCAGGAATATTTTTAGTTAAACATGCATCGTTGCGCCATCTGCGCATTCTTCATGGAATCTCAAGAATACACAAATAATATTATGTTTACTGACCAATAACCAGTACTGAAAAGAAACAATGCGATATACCTAAAAGAACCGGAAAGGAAATAATATGTTCTAATCTATAAAAACAAAGCAACAAAACAATATTAGGAAACTAGCGAAAACACATTTTACAAGTAGCACTCGTTGTTCGGCTCCCGAAGACAATAGTTTAATTTATACACGGCAGAACTAACGTGGATTACACTCGACCAGTTTATTAGCAACTGAAATATCCCGGTAACCGCGTTTCTAAACATTTGCAATATGATTTGAAATAGCACTGCGATGTAAGTACACGAGGTATTTATTACTAATTGTATTTAGTAGATTTAGTTTGTTATTTATTTCTGCAATATAAGATATATTATATATAATATTCAACGGGCAAATTGCTAAAGGTTCATGTTTAATTAATAATAAAAGTTTTGTTATGCTTTAGAGTATTCGAATTATTTGTTTTGATAATTTGAAAAATTGGCAACATTGCTTTGCAACCGCCAGGTCGCGCATGCTCTAGAATGCCATAAGCGCCGGGTATTGCAGTGTATAATAATTTATCAAATTTAACCGTTACGAAAGTGGTTTAAAGTGAGTTTGTTATTCTAGTGCCCGAGGTACATATAATACCATGGATTCGTCTATAGAGGATTCGTTCGTGGATGACGAACTTTTCGTAGGGCCCGCAACTACAGAGTACACAAAAAAATTGTTACTTTCCAAGCCCGACCTATCAGGCATCTCTCGAAGAAAGACGTTTTCAGGGTAATATCATCAAGTTATTGTATTGCATATATTCATTCATTCATTATTAATGCATGTTAATAATTATCTTTGTTCTTTTATAATTATTACATTAGAGAATGATATTTCAGAAAGCCAACCCCAGCTGATGACTTAACAGATGAGTATTTGACCCCTGACAGCACCATCTCCACATCAAATGCTAATTTTCTAGATAAAATGAGAGCTATGCTTGATGAACCATCTTCATCAAATACTTCTTACCGGACGGCATATGACAGAACTGTAAATGATGATTCAGTAGTGAATCGCCGAAGTTCTTTACCAAAAATATCCGATGCAACTTTAATTAATGAAATGGAAACATTATCACTGTTGACTGTTCATAAACAATTAGATGATATTGTGATATCTGATAATGAAATTGATGATGACTTCCTCAGATATCAGGGAACACAAATTAAATATGAAAACATCTCAGCAGTTGATATTGAACCAGAGGATGATGATACAAATAACACTTCAGAATATAAAGAAAATCAGAATCAAGATGATGGCATTGAAAGTGCATACTCTCTAGAATCTAGTTATGATTCTTATAAAGATAAAAATGATTACCAGGAATATGAAAGAAGTTATAATGTGCCTGATATTAGCATTGCATCAACTCCCAACACTTCTCAATGTTCCATGAAACCTACGAATTTAATTGACATCAGTTGTTCAACAAATTCAAGTTGCGACTCATTTAAAGAACCTAAGGTGATCCCATCAGCAATTCCACGTAAACGAGGATTGTTAAAAGCACCGCATGCACCAGTGAGGGAAGTACTCAAAGTGAAAAATACATACGGCACACCAACCAATCAAGGATTCCGAAAGCCTACACCCACGAAATCAGCGGATAAATTCAAGCATGTGCAAAGCCCTGTCAGGTTCTACATCAAGCACTCAGCGACGGCGCCGATTTGCAGGAATGTCCATACAACTAAGCTCCCTACCATCTTACCAGAGTATTTCTTTGAGGACGTGCCAGATCTCAGTAATCGATGGGAGTTTACCATCCCTGAAATTATTTATAAGCCGTCCGCGGTGCAGTATCAATCGAGGGAGAAGGAAATTCATCTCCCGCAGAACATTAAAGCGCTCATGCCGACCGTCGCCGATATGTACATGACAAAGCATGAGACTCGCATCAAGGGCATCGAGGAATCGCAGGAGAGCATTAGGAGGAAATTAGATGAAGACATGGACCTCACTATGATGCCTGCATCTTCCACTGCAGAGCAGGACATTTCAATAATCCAAGTCAAACCCTATTTTTAATTGATACATCATGAGCAACAATGTTTTTTTTTATTTATACATATTTTTATTCAGAACAATTAAATTTTCATTCATGTAGTCTTTAATGTGAATTGAGCGTTGTCATTTATATTAGTTAGTATCTAGTATGCCAACACTGAGAATTTTAAAAAACTCCTTCAGCAGTGAAACAATGTTACTTTACTCTTGTGCTTCTTTAAATTGCAACCCATCAGTATAGGCTTTCAACTTATGTCTCTTACTTTTAAGAGTTATTAGTTTTCGTACGTAATTCATCTTTATCTTTACGGTGCTTCGTAAAGCAATAAAGAGCCTAGTTTTCGCGGATTGTCAGCAAACTGATCCTATGCTACTTGGTATTAATGTCATTAGTTAAAAAAAGGCAAGCCGAAAATACATGATATCAATAATACATATAACCACATCAAATATTGTTAAACATGAGTCCCGATTGCTCAGAACGCAACACCAACGCGTTCTTGATTTTTTGTCATAGATTTACCTTCAACCTTCGTTGAGCGCCACCTTGTGTAATCGAAGATTGTGCGTAGAATGTATGTATGGATACTTTTGTAATATTGTTAGTAGTAATCTTTAATCATTATTTCTATTAACATGAATATGGAAGCTACGTTTATATCTTTCTTATTTTATTAACTCATAACTGAGAAAAATTTAAAATTTGGCAAATTGTAATTCATATGCGCGCAGTCGCATAGAAGATTTAAACTGGCGGCATAACCTAACTCCCTAACATCACATCGAGCAGCACCTGGCAACGGAGTGTGTGCGACGTTCTAGCGCGAAGACTCTGCAAATTACTCAGTGGCCATTTGTAAAACGGTACTGCATGCTCTCTTGGATATCATTCCCATTGACATCAACTGTTCGAATAGCATTTTCAAATTACTATTGACGTCGACAAATACTTCAGACGAAGGCACATGATAATCTGCTAATAGCATTTACATTTGACCATTGAAACGTGTTTGGTGCTAGAGTGTACCAATCACACGATGAGCGAGGATCAAAATGGTAAGTGCATAGGAATAAAGAAACAGCAAAATATTACATGGCGTTGCACAATAGTTGTTTTCTCGTGACAGTCGCGTGTTGCTTGACAATTAAGCTTTTCTACTATTTAGTTAATGTCCGTTTTAGGGAAAGTTGTCAGACGACGCATAATTCGAGTTTCAGATTCAGATTCTGACTGTGAACAACTCAAGAATTTGAATGTCTCCCTGTCAACGGTACCCACGCCAAACAGGGCACTTATTGTTGAAGAACGCGAGCGGAAAGTCCACTATCTGATCAAAGTATTCCCCAATTTGCAAGCGTCGGTAATATGATCATGCTTTAACTTCATAATATATTTGTATACATTTGTTTGATTTGGATAGGAGGTATATGAGCAACTTGCAAATGATGAGTTTGACCTAGCAAAGACTGTTTCCCAGCTGGAGGGCAAACATGGCAATGTTGTAACCATCAGCTATGACAAGTGGAAGCTGGACGAGAAGATCAAAATGCAGGCCTATGCAAAGCAAAAGAGGCCCCCTGCTGAGAGAAAGAAAGCATCAAAAGGTAGTTAATGGCTTTCCTGTTTCAATAAACACCAGTTTAATTATTCCCATTTTAGCAAAAAGAAGAAAGGTGGACAACAGTGATAGCAATGATTCAGACACTAATTATGCTGACACAAGAGTATTTGACTCAGATGAAGATTCTGATGTAGAAATCTCAGATGTGCTCACACCCAGCAAGAAGAAGGTGCTGGAATTTATGGAAACTGCAACAGCCAGTGAGCTGCAATTGATGCATTCATGTTCAAAGAAGAAAGTGGATGCTCTTTTGGCATCTAGACCCTTCACCGGATGGATTGATCTGGTAAGAAATTTTCAGTTTGTTGTACTTGTTTTCATATCGCATTTGTTTTCTATTGATAACTTTAGGTTGAAAAGTTACAAGGCAACAAATACTTGAGCACGGATCTCTTGAACTCCGCGCAAAGAGTTATATCGACGCGCCAGAATGTAGCCGCCCTGATGAATAAATGCTCCAAAATTTCTGAACAATTAGAATTTGCCGCAAAACGCGAGCACGCTATCAAATCACAACCGAAAAATCTATCGGCGGGGTAACTTGAATATCATATTCTTGATAATGTTACTTATCATTACATTTTTTAAGGCTAAAACTGACTGGTTATCAACTGGTGGGTGTAAACTGGTTGGCAATGCTGCATGAACAAGGCCTGAATGGAATCCTTGCTGATGAAATGGGCTTGGGTAAAACAATCCAAGTGGTAGCGTTCCTCGCACATCTTAAGGAACGCAACATCTCAGGCCGGCATCTAATTGTGGTCCCCGCCTCCACCCTGGAGAACTGGCAAAACGAATTCGAGCGTTGGTGCCCGTCGATTAAAGTCTTACTGTATTACGGTAGCGCCGAGGAGCGTCGCAACTACCGTATCATGTTCTCCAAAGGTGAGCACAGGGCGTACGACGTTGTACTAACTACATACAATATCGTTGCGGGCACGCCCGAGGAACGTAAGATGTTCCGTGTGACGCCTATGCACTATGTTGTTTTCGACGAGGCACACATGCTGAAAAATATGAATACGCAGAGATTCGAAACTTTATCACGAATTCGTGCCACAAAGAGATTACTGCTCACCGGTACGCCGCTACAAAATAATCTTCTGGAGTTGATGTCGTTGTTGATCTTCGTCATGCCGAATATTTTCTCCGCTAAAACTGAAGATCTCAAAAGCTTGTTCCAGAAAAACGCCGTAAGTTTTAGGTGCTTGGTTATTATTTGATTGTTAACCTACATTTTAATTTAGAAAAAAGACAATGATCCTGATAACACGTCAAGCTTCGAGAAGGGCCAGGTTGACCATGCGAAGCGAATTATGAAGCCCTTTGTCCTGCGACGCCTTAAACTTGATGTGTTGAAAGATTTACCACCGAAAACAGACACAAAGTTGATGATTCCAATGTCGGATGACCAAGAGACAAAGTACCAAGAACTAGTCGCGCATTTTCAAGAGATTGGTATGCGCGCAGATAGCGGAGCTTACAATGGCATGTCGATGATGACCGACTTGCGTAAACTGGCAAATCATCCCTTACTACAGCGCTATCATTACACCGACGCGACCATAAAAACTATAGCCAAATGTCTCGCGAAAGACCCAGACTACAAAGACACCGTTGTGGAATACATCGTTGACGATCTTGCCTGCATGTCCGACTTCGACATCAACGAGATGACCCAGGAGTATCCACTCGTAAGTTAAATACATCAGTATATGCTAGAGGCAGAAGTATGTAACAGCAATTTTTCAAAAGTCCATAGGTAAATTTGCAATGCCTAAGAAATTGATTCCCATATCGGGCAAATTCGCCTACTTGGATGAAACTCTCCCTCAGTTGAAGCGCGAGGGGCATAGAGTGCTGATCTTCAGCCAGTACGTTATTATGTTAAACATTCTCGAGGTTTATCTTAAGATGCGTAACCATTCCTTCCTACGCCTGGATGGCAACACTCCTGTCACGCTTCGGTAAATTTTTTACAATATCCTTTTTTCATATAATCTTATATGCAAGCTTGTGTTCGCAGGCAGCAACTCATCAACGAGTACACCGAGGACGGATCGATATTTATATTCTTGTTGAGTACGCGAGCTGGTGGTTTGGGAATCAATCTGACAGCCGCCGATACGGTCATCATTCACGACATCGACTTTAATCCTTATAACGACAAACAGGCGGAGGACAGGTGTCATCGCATGGGTCAAACGCGCCCGGTCAACGTTATTCGGCTTGTCTCGAAGGACACGATTGAGGAGGCAATGTGGGAGTTGACGCAAGAAAAACTCAAACTCGAACGAGACATTACCACTGATGGTAATTTTTTTGTTTACTCTCAATTCGTGTCGCATTATATAAAGTGTATGTGTAGTATATAATGTGTGATTTTTGATGTTCGCAGATTGTGATACCGCCGATGTGAAGAGCGTGGTGAGTTTGCTGTCGACAGCACTGAAAATTGACCAAGCAAAGGTCAACAATTTGTGCTCTCCGGAAAAGCTCAAGTTAAATGGGAAAAATTCGAGCTTTTCAATGTAAAATATAGAATCACAACTGCTCGAACCCCCGCTGTGCGGACAATGGTGCAGTTACCTTTTTATAAGTTTATTATTACTATTTATTTAATGATATTACTTACTATTTACTATTAGTACAACTCCTTACAATTCCAATCAGAATAATAGATAATTAATTAAGCAGTGGAATTTAGTTCATCCTTTATTAGCGCTGAAGTCTTTGTATTGAGTCATGTTTAAATCATGCATGCTTATATTGACAATATTTTTAATTAATTGCCTGACGAGTATGAGTGATATTTGACAACAAATAATATATTATTATTTTTACACACTTAACTTTTGGGCGCACAATGACTTCGACGCACTTTTTGGGACGTTTTTGCGTAAATGCAAAACAAGCTGCGATGATTATCTTTATTAGTCTTAATTTCTATTCCATCCCGCAATCCAACAGTGGACGAGTGCATCCTCAACTGTAAATTTTATGTGCTGGGATGATTTGTAGAAATAAGTTATTTATGCTTGCACACACCGCAAATTCATAGATATTTCATCTTTGACTTGTAATTAAGTATATTAATTATAGTCAGGTGATCTTTAATCAGAACATTCAAATATGAAAGACAATTATTACATCAAACACGCCGGAACATTTATTCAAAAGACTTACTTTAATGCAACCGTTGACAATCATCAGTACAATTCCATGAATATAGGATATTACGGCCAGCTGCGCGAAAATGGTAAGTACCTGCAAATATTTTTATTCTTAGTGCTGAAAACTTGGGTAGGTATGACCAAATCATAAAAGGCGTGAAAAAAATATCTTGGAACAAATAATTATTCAGCTACGATTTGTTTATCTAAGCCTAACCCTGGTTACGCTCTAATTAATGGCAAATATTTAAAAAATCAACCATATAATAATTCACAAACAAAATCATTCGAGGATGTTTATATGAACATTACGGACGTGAGTTCTGAATTATTTCATTTATCTGTTTTCTTCCGTATCGCACATGTCAATAATTTTTATATAATTAACTCCCGACACAAATAGAAAGGTCTTAAATACAAATCAGCACAATGCCAAGATTTGCGTTCCTTATTTAGTTACGATTTATCCATGAACAAACTATGAATCAATCAACTGCTTATAAATTGACTGAGGAGCACGTAGCAATTGAAAGTAAATTAACAGACGCAATATAATTATGACATTAATTATCTTACGCTTGAAATTTTCATTATATTTAAATCAATATTAACGAGCGAACCGATTTTCTAATCATGAAGTTTGTTTTTGAGTTTTTGAGAATTAAGTAAAAGTGGAATGTACCCAATGTTCGTTCATTCTACTCGCGGAGACACCAAACCAAAGTTATCGACATAACGAGTGGGGAGGCCGTAGCAAACCCGAAAATTCACAGCGAAACATCTCGGAAAATGAAAAGCGCACTAAACCTACCGCATGAGTCACCGTTCGTGTCGGCGTCGAGGGGGCGAGGGTGCCCGCCGCCACGGCGAACGTTGCCTCTGCCGCGTCGTGCCGCGACTCACACTTAATGCAATTGCACGACACGCTGCGGAAAATCGATACTCGCCGCGTGCCTCCGGCCTCCTCAGCTGAAGCGTTTCCTCAATGACGCATGCACGCACGCATCTACCACGCTGCGAGCCGCACGCACGCGGGGGTGGCGCGTTTATGTGCCGTTGTAAACGACAGGCACATGCTTGCACAGTCGACGGCGGGCGTCGCGTTCGACAGTCGCCGCGCCGCTGCACCCTCGTGATGATGGACGCGCGCTCCTGACGAACGTTGCCGCCTCCGCCTCTTCCACTGCCTGCAATCCGATCCGATGTTATCGCACTCGGCATGGCCGCACCGCCTCTCGCCGGCGACAACGCAAGTCCTTACCAACACCACGTACGCGCCAGCACAGTCCAGCGAAAGTGGCATCGAGCCGGGTCAGATTGCTACTATCACTGGTTCGTTGGCATCCTTCGGCCAGTCCCGGGACAATCTTGATCATTATCACTACGATACCGACCACACAGATCTCACCAGCGAGCCCGATGAGGCTGAAATTCGTCGGGAACTTTTGTACGATGTAAGTTGCCGCAATTGTGACAGTGTTAAACAACAACTTGTTTGATTGTTCCTATCTGCGCTTCACAGCAATGGCGTTGTTTCTTCGATAAGTTTGACGTAGAGGGTTTTGGTGAGATCCCCTGGACGGACCTACTACATGCACTCGATGAGCCGGAGTTCCGAGAGCGCGTCAACACCGGCAAGCGAGAAGTGCTCCTGGAGAAGGCGCGCACCGCCGCGACGGACGCGATCACCTTCCAGGACTTCGTCAACGTGGTGAGTTTTGCTGCACACGCGCGCGCGTGTGAACCTGTGAATGAAATTCGGGTGCGCGTTGATAAAAGCCGAGCGCTGTGGTGCGCGACGAAACGTTTGGGTGGTCATTATGATTAAACAAGTCTGTCTCATTCGTCCACTCCGTCGTTGGTGGTTAACGTGTGACGAAGTCGAGTTTAATTCACCCGTTGCTCCCACAACTCCGGGCGCGCCGGTGAGAAAAAAATCTTTTTCTCACACACAATGCCAGTGCAGGAGCAAATGGGAAGAGGACGGGTCGAGCCGACGTATTTATCAAAAGAAAAAGCGCATGCGACGAGGCGGACGAGGCCTTTTCGGAGCGCGGCCGGAGCGGACTTCGTGCGCGCATGAAAAGGGGACAGCGGAATCGTCGGCTCTACGGCGAGAGCCGCTGCGGCGTACGCGTTGCAGTGTGAAAAGATATGCCGCGTGAAATTGGGCATTAATTTATTTGATTTCTCATTCCCGAGCAAGCCGAGCACCGAGCGTCATCAAAGTCGCATCATCGCCGCGCCATCGACGGTTTTTCCTTCTTCAGGTATTCCGAGCCGCGCTTTGTTCTCTTATGCGCGTTCGTCGCACGGTCTCGCGTTCGTAGTAAGATCAAATCGAATTTAAATCAAATTGAATTCCATACAGTGCAAAACGCGAATGCCACCATGGCGGCAGCAGTCGAGCGGCAATCTGTTTATTCAATTCGGCATAATCTAAATTTTCACAAACTGAAACTGCCGCGTTCCTGTCCCGCGTTGATTGATCTGTTCGCGCGGCCCGACGACAATGACTAACCGCTGATGGCGGCTAATGTGTATAAAATTAACAAGCACGCACAAAGCAAAGCCACCCACAAATTCATGACGATTTCATTTTTAATCGACCCAACGGTGTTAATCTAAATTGCTTATATTCCATCTAATTGATGATATTTTATCACACCATTCTCGCGATTGAGTAAATTTGCTTTGTCACCCTGCAAATCATGAGGTCACGGTTTATAGAAAAGCGCCGTCTAATTTTAAGTAAACAAAACAATATCACAACACGTTATAATGAAATCATTTTAACCATTTATTTTAATTGAACCAAACCTTTGCATCCCCTATTTTTTATTCTTCGAATCCCATAATTAATCGGCTATTATGTTTCGTTGGATTAGGTTAGGTTATTTGAGGTATTGTTTTCAAATTCAATGCATTTTTACAACGTTCTTTAGATTTTAATGTATATTGAGTTGCATATAAGAAATTTTATTTTGTTCTCTTCTTACTTAGAGTATCTTATTAAAATATATACCTAAGTATAGAGAATATTTCACAAATGTTTTGAAGATAACATTTTCAATTTGTGGTACATATGCAATCATCTTTGTTATTTAATCGCTTCTTTTACCTGATTTTTTTTCACGCCACCCACCAAGTCAACCTGTTTGTCTAATTTTTAATCGCCCAATTGGATTATCAATTTACTTATAGTTATCGGTTTACGCAAATGTGGAGGCTAAACAAAGTGTACGTTGGTTCAGATTTAGATAAGCGAGGTATGCCCTGAGTTGATACTGTCCTACTGGGCTTCCAATTCAATCCCATCGCAAAGGATGGGGGCGAACAGCGTTTAGCCCAGAAGGTGAATTGTGTTACGGCCACCCTGCTGATTATAGAGTGCCGGCACGAGTTATACCCTCACGATGTTTCACTCAGCATGTGTGTCGGCTCGCTGGCTACTTATATGAAAATATAAGGGATTTGACAAGCCAATCTAGGCCGCAATGACTTGATTCCGAGCGCGACGCACCATCTGTTCTTTTCTAGCGCGATCTGTGATGATGATGATTTTATTCGGATTGCATTACGATGTGCCGCGTCTCGCCGTTTCTAAACCGTTCGTAAACAGTGTTTATATTCGCGCGTTGTCGCCGAGAGAAAAAGACATATTCGAGCGTGTTATTCACGGCATTGTCGGGCCGTGAAAGGTAGAGGATAGCAGAGGATCTCTTTATTTATTACCGCTTCGCATTTTCGCCACACTGCCACACACAAAACGGCCGCACCGAAAGGGAGCGTAGAAATTGTGTTTGGTGAAAACCTCGCCAAACATGATTTCAATGCGCGTCAACAATCATCGACGACAAATGGAACCAAAACGATCGAACTGTGGACCCGGCCGGCTCCCGTTGCCGGCCGCGCTCTTTAATAGAAATGCACGCCGACAAAGTAGGCACCGTGGGCACGCCGTGGACGAGGAATGCCCGCGCTGTCGTACCCCTGGTGTAAGGACACACATATCTTTCAATACATTGTGCCTTATTATTAGCGTTGAGGGGGGCAGATGCGACGGGACCGCGCCCGGCCGGACTGCCGCGGCGAAGGTGGTGGTCCCGTGGTCCGTTTGTTCGCATCAACTTCCGAAGACCTCCACCGCGCTCGCCCGCACGACGTGCAATTCGCCGCCTGCCTATTTGCCTACTTCAAGAGGCAAAAAGGTGCGCTGCGTCGATGCTGCGCCTTCAAATTATTCTATAAGCCGAAAATTACAGGTCTGGATGAAAGATTGGGACACAATGAGCGCGCACGCACCGACAAACGATTATTTTCGTCTATTTGCATTGCTAACTAGTCATTAATCTACGAAAGGCACCGACAACCGAAGGCAAACACTTTTCTCATGCCTTGCCTCCCAGATATTCACGCTTCCCATGGTCTAAGTATGTGTGTTTAACGAGCTTATAGGAAAATTGCCCGCTTGCTGCCTGCCCGCCCGAGATTTGTTTGTTTGAGGTGCCAAATTAAACCGGGGCTATGGAAAGCTAATTTAAATTGGGGCAATTGAAACAAAGCAATTTGCGACGCGCTAATGTAGTTATGGCAGCTTTTTTGCGCTCGTTGTCCAGCGCCAGGCGAGTGCACCGTGTGTGTCCATCCAACATCTTGGATTGCTTTGTTCGTGCTGGCCACGCTGCTCTGCGGTTTTTTCCTCGACACAATCATATGATTAACTCTCCCTTTCTCTGGTTCTCGTCATCGCGTCCCGGCCTCCTCGCGGCGCAGCAAACGAGAAATGATTACTCGTAATATACATCTATTTGTCTCGTCGTTGTCTCGTTTGATGTATTTACCTGCTCGCTATACTCAAAGGCGCAGAAGATAAAAGACACCGAAAATGCTGGCATCTGGCAATTTCCTCGGGATTTCGTTGGGTCGCGCACCCCGTCAGTGCCAATTCTTGATCGACCCCGCCGCGTGTGTGTTTTGTCGGTCCGCGCGCGGCATTCCTCGTTAATGTAGAGGCGGTGGCCGCGGTGGCCGCGGTGGCTTTCCTAATGGGACGTAAAGAGGCACGCCGGCTGTTATTAACAAAACTAACTTTATTGACGACCACCTACAAGCGCCGAGATCGCGATGACGGCAGGCAGCTTTGAGAAGAGGAGGCGGAAAAAAGTGCAGTCGAGCTTTGGCGTGCCCCTAATCGGCGCGGAAAGCTTTGGGTATTATAAGATCATTACATATTTAAAAATGCGATTAGTTTTGTCCAATTTTCTATGGCGGCCTCTACGACATCTTAGACATTGGAAAATCCGCATTCGAATGGGATTTGCGTGGATTTGCAAGCGGTTTAAACATGCGTGAAACACAACGACGACCAGTCGAGCCCATGTTGTGGTACTGGCGCGGCATGAAGTACATAATGGGACCCGCTGGTCGGCGTTGAACGTGTGGATGGAGGAGTACCAAAACGCAAAACCGTAAAGCGATTAGTTTTGCTTGGTTTTGCTCGTTTGCCTAATCATCTGAAAATACTACAAGACGAACGCTACACGGTTCCCTTCAATTGAAACATCTTTTTCGGCAGAGGACACCGCAACACATTTCTTCCGCGTTCACCTTCAAATCGGAAATCAAAACTATTATGTCATTGCATTGAGCGCATTGAGGTTTGTTTGAGATAAATGCCGAAATGCGATTGACTGAATGCGGCGTGGATGTTTTCAGTTCGCTTTCTTAAGAATGCCTTTCATCGACGATTGCGCACTCTCTTCGCCCAAACAGGTCCCAGCATTTACGTTGCCTGAACCAAGAGACAGGGTGGTTCTCGTCGAATCCACAATTCACAAAACGCATTAAAAGGCGCAGAGATTTGTCCACTCTGTAATCGCTCACACGGAAAATCGTAATGGCATTAACGATCGTTATAGTTAAGTCCATTTTCAATTTTTCTTTTCACGCCACGCCACTCAGGGCCGTAGCGAAAAGTTGTTATTCCACATCTTCAGCAAGTAATGCCTACGTCTTTACAATTATAATGAGGCTACGATTGAGTATTCTTTTGATTTCGTGCGTTCCTTTATGTTCCCATGCTCCATGAATGGCTGTATGGTTTCGTTTCGATTTCCATTGTGCGCGAGCCGACCAACATTGTGTTCGGAATATTTTGTCGTATTTGTGTAAATATGTCTGCCGCAACGTGCCTTTTTCATATGCGTACAAATTCGGCACTGTGACTACTCGTCACCGATAATGTGTCGCGCTTACAGTTATCATTGCACAATGAGCAATTGTTTCCCTTTGCATTACGTACTATGACGCACTGTCTCGGCAGCAAACACAATTTGGGAGACAATGATTCACCTGGGGATTATGTCTAGATATCGTGGTGTGTGTTTGGACATTTATAAATTTGTGTGCGTTGCTTTTTTGAATCGTGTTGGATCACGGCTGCAGGTATAGAATCTGCCCCCGCAGCGCACTAACTGAATATTTGAATAAACTTGTAGGCTTTAGGAATGAAATTGTCATTTTTCATGACGTAGAAACGAAGAAGTACGCCCGGCATTGTCTCAAAATTGAACCGAAATACGATGAAAGTATCGTCGGCAGAATCTGTGAGACATCCGAGTAAATTAATAGGCATTAATTGAAACGTGTGTGGTTTCCGTGAGTATAAAAATTCCAAATGAAGCAGCAGGCAAATAAATAAGAATGGTACCATCCCGCTCGCTGCCGCCTTCAATCTTGCCCTCCGCCCGCCGTTCAATAAATTATCTATACTTATCGCCCGGTTCGGTGTGCATCGGCGTTCAAGTAGCAACAAACGCCACCGAAAAACGTGGCCGCACCGCGCGATCCCATTCGATCCCATTTAGCCAGCTAGCGCCCCAGCCTAGAGAGATAGGTCGTAACTCCAACCGATGGACGCGTCAAGATTATTCATTTCTGTGTCTATCGGTTATCTACGTAACTAATACACCTAATAAATAAATCACCTGGGAAAATGCCCCGAGTCAGTTGTTGCGTTGCGACAAGTCGAGGTGTTTCTGGTTATGGCCTCGCAGGTTGTAGTAATACCTCAATTTCGTTGCGTCTCTTTCATTTTTTCCTCGTCTCCCCGGCCAGCGCCTCGTTATGTGCGCGTCGCTTTTATGGCTTTCGGACACACTGAATATTTGGAGACACATTCCGACGATGCGACCGCTTGGCCCCCGAGTGTGAGTGGGACCTGAAATGCTTAAATGACTTAATTTAATGGTCGTGGATCTGTGCGCCTCCGCCTGACAAACCTGCGCAATCAAGTAATACACTGCGCCGATGTAAGTACTTACATCAACTAGACCAGAATATAAAAAACAACGTCGAGAGACGCGCGATTGGATTGCGGCCGGAGCGCGATCCGCAATTACAATGTGAATAAAAATTGATATAATAAAGTTCACACGCGCTCATTTTTGTTCTCCGACATTCCGCGCCGCGCTTCTTCTTTTCTTTCAATTTTGTGCTTCACATCGATTACAATTGTTGCTTTGTGTTGCTTTTAATCCGTTCCATTCTTTTCTGTAATTTCACAGGACTAAACGAGAGCGGCGGATTTAACTTTCCGGTTTATATTACAATTAAAATTAAAAACGAACACTGCTTGTCTATTCTTACCACTAGCGTTTCGTTTTTTTTCGATTTTAACCCTAAGTTAATTAGAACAAAATTACCAATGAAATTAGTAATTTAGCGTTAATCACATGCCACTTTTATGCCTCGTTTTTATTTTTGCTTTCGTTAATTGTTAAATGTTTTCTGAACGAAATACCTAAACAATCTATACATCAAGACCCGGGCCTCGTAATCTACAAAAAGTCTGTGTGCTAAGACCGCTCAGGTCGAAATGTATCGCATCAGGGTATTAATGTTTAGTATTTCCTTATCTTCAGAGATATCAGTTACGCTCGGTGGGCCGGCTCCCATCCGCCTAATTAGATTAAGCATGTCACAATTTACGAAATAATTGACTGTTTACCCTTTCTCGCGCCCCTTTTCATCACGCCCTTGCATCGGTGAGGGGCTTGTCAACCCCTACTGTTGGTGCCGCAAAAATAAAAAAAAAACAACGATAGGAATACACAACACCGGGGACGAATGCAAAGCGTTCGAAACTCGCCGCGGTCAATCAATCTCGTGTCGCCGAGATGTTCGCATGTTCGCAACTTGCAGACGAGGCAGGTGTGTATGACGTATGACGTTTTGATTTATCGTTTGTTACGCGGCTTGTTTGTCATTTTGCATCTGACATTCCTTCGCGAGCGGCACTTGATTTGACATAAGTGATAGCCGAATGTACATTTATATCATTATTAGGCCCGACAACAAATTTATATCGTGTTGTTTCGGCAAAACGATGACTGCGAGTGCAATTTGGCCCGGTGTACACCACAAAAAATGCCGAGTGCTTTTTTTTTCTTGTTTGTACTAAAGAAGAACATTCCGCTAAGGTGATGGTGTATTTTTTCGTTGGAATTTAAATTCGAGCGAGCACGCCGCTGAGTCCTGGGAAGGAACACACACATTGCCGCCCACGCAAAACACCTATGCCTCTTCGGTTTACAATAACAAAAGGGATTGCTGGGATCGGGCTCCAAGTCGATTGCGTCGCGACGATGACCACGATGATGTCGTGTGCTTGAGTGTGAATTCGAGTCAGCTTTCATCTCTCATTGCGTATGCACAGGTGCGCGTACACGCACGACTGTGCATCGTCAGTAATGCGGTGTTCTTTGTTGAACCGAGTAACCAAATTGAAAATATTGAAAACATTTCGACCGACACTATTTTCGGAAGAATGCCCTAAAGTAATTTGTAACATTTAAATTGAACGCCACTGAAGTATCGCTTAGCGCTGGTTCGTTTAGTCGGTGGTTTTTCGGCGGCGAAGGAACGTTTAACTTGTCTTATTGTGTGCTCATTTCTTTCTTTTCGAATTAACCACTTTGCAATAATAAGACAACGGCCTGAAAGCGATGCCTCGATGCCAAAAAGATTCAAAACACAAACAAGCGGTGCTCAGCGCACAGCGAGAGCCCTCTGCGGCGGCTCGTTTGGTGCGTGCCGCGAAGACGAAGAGTTGATAGAGTTGCCGGCGGCTAGGATAGACCCATCGCGCATCGCGGCGCATCGCACTGCACCACGTATGCATTCGTACATTAAATATACATGCAGCGCTGGTGCGCCGTGCGCTGATGACGGGTGCGTTACGTTATAGTCTGACTCTGCCGGCGCCACTTCATAATAATTGCCAATAAACTACCGAACCTCTGCGCCGCGCGGCGTTTAAAACTGATGCGGCCACTCGGAAATTAAATTCGCACCGCGCGGGCCTGCACGTCGAAACGTTGCTTCCAATGTCCGACGTCGGACATGCACGCGTACAGCGTTCATTATGCGCACAGCGCATTATTCAGAAATTGCCCGTTTCCTCCTCGCGCGACACGAAACTCGCTCAAAACGACAGAGCGCAGCGCGCGCCGCGGCGTTATCCTTATAATTTGTCGCGCGTCGTAAACGTCCTCACGTGGGTGGCTGCCCTTTGTTCTTCGCTAGCTCGGCTGGCCCGCTGACGTGCGCCGCGCCGTCGCGATGAGATGATGCCAATTGACCGGAAACCCGGCCGCGTCAATGAAACAATTCCGGCGCGCACCACGCACACGGCGGGTCCAATTGTTTCTTGCGATGATTTAGTCATAACCAGCGCGCATACTGCACACCAGCTTACTTTGTAACACGCGATGCATTGTGAGCGCAGAAATGAGTGCTCGCTGCAGTGTGCATTGTGTGTTTGTCTGAATATTCATACCAAGCGCAGAAGGTGTGCGGTGTGCTATATTGAGGGGTGTGCTTGGCGAGGGTGAGCCATGTGTCTACTGGTCCACACACAGTAGAAACGGTGTCTGCACCTCGTCGAAGGTGCAACGTTTTGTTCCAAATTGCATGCGTTCCAGGTTTTTTATAAAGTTATTCGATCTAGATGGCATCTGTTTTCCTTCCCTTCTTGACTACGTTCGTAGGCGATGTTGTTTTGAAATATCATATGGATATTCTACTCGATAGTGTGGTGCTAGGTACTGTTATTCCGCCGGTATGGCCGGAAAGTGGAAACACAATACGACCAGGCGCGTGCGGCAGATTATCGAATCAGCAATGAAATCGAACTTGCTGCTAACAGCCAGACGGCGAAAAGTGTTGAGGCGGTTGAAACGATTGACGGCAGCTAACAAATTTGAGCTTCTTTTTTTCCTTTAATTTCACTCCGCTTGCGAATGCAATAATAGCCTGGCGCAAGTCGGCGTTAATGTGAACTCGGTTTAACAACCTAACGACGTCGGCGGAAGTGTTTCCGGTCGAGTACTCAGTACTCAAACCGACTATACTGAAGTCAACATGGAATCGCACCTCGTAGAATTCTCAAAGTCGAAAGTTTCAACGCTTCGCACGCGGTGGAGTCGGTCGGCGGGCAGTCATCGAGAGGAACGCTCGTGCCTGGTCAATCATCGCATTGACAGTAATGTGGGAGCGCATTATTCACGTCCGCGACGCGCTTTATTCCACCTTCGATAAAAGAACGTAAATCTTGTGTAATTATTCTTCTGCCCCGTGCACGAATCTTCCAAACGTTTATTTTTTTCACTCCTGACGTAGCTGCCCGTAAACGAAAGCAATTAATTATGATAATTAATGATTGTCCAAATGCATCGTGATATTTTTTCGTCGACTTTTATTCGTAGGCTTCTCGACATATCTTATCATCGATGGTGGTAACTGGTAAGCGCGGTAAAGTTGAAACGCGCAGACCATGCCTCCTACCAACCGCATTCTCCGAGGAGGTGCATGCAAGTACAAGCATAAATATACCATTCGAGCGTACGTAAAAAGGAATAAGAAGATAGAGCTATCAATTTCTTACGGATTCACGGCCATGAACAACTTCACCAGTAGTTTTCTAATTGATTGATTGTTAAGCGCTTACAATTACTCATATACTGGACGAGCGCTTCGACTGCTGCACCTGATGAGCGCGCGTTAAAATATTCCAAACATGATAAAGCATTCGAGTTATGAGGGTATCAGAAAAATGCCACACGTTTGTTTATCTATAAAACGTTTCACAACACGATTTCGACTTTTGAGGGACGAGCTGAAAAGTAAAATGATCAGGAAGGTTCACAGCGAAACAAGTTTTCTGATTCGAACGCCGATATCGCGCCGATGGCCGATCGATTTCTGACGATTTCTACGAATTTTTGATGTCGCGCCTATCCCACCACCGCCGGCGACCGCCGAAACTCCTGATTAGACGGCGTTGATCTTGATTCATTTTAATGTCGCAGCGCCGAGGACACGAAGGTGTCGCGATCGATTGCATCTCGCGGTCACCTTAATAACCCTCGGCCGGGGTAAGGCGACACACGCACCAACAACAAATGGGCTGGCTCTTGCGGGCCCTCGATGCAGGCAAGCACAGTAGTGGACTTACATAAATTTCGGCATTCTTTTTTTGTCGCCACTCTGAAAACGAACGATATTCGCGGAATGCGGAGAAGCAAAGTGTGCGAGGTGCGAAGATTCGATTTTTTCGGCGCTCAGATTGGAATTCGGAATTCCGAATTTGGAATTCCCACATGTCGTATAAAACGCATCAGAGCAATCACATTCGTTGATGAGTCGGATACGCCGCGACTGATGCTGATGTCTGCGACCTGCTCCGGTGACTTCTTCGCCGACGGCGTGCCCAGCGACGGGCATTATGCAGCGGCCGCGCGATGCTCACGATGCGATTCGGTTTTGTATTCGAAATTCGTCTGGGCCGGATGGCGGACAGCAGCCATGGCGCCGATCTCAGAGATAACGAGTGACAAACGCGCTGCACCCTGCACTCCGACGTTATGAATACAAATAAAATTGCCCGTTTCGGCTGCACTCGGCGTCGCCAGCGCGCATTGTCGCACCGCGCATAGGTGCGTCCGTTTGATCGTCATATTTCGAAAATGATTTAATCGAAATGTCGCTCGCCCGCGCGATGATGAGTGCTGAGCGATCGCGGCGGGCATATTTCTATGCGTCGCGTTTTACTTTTGGTTTCATCGTCCGCATGCCACGCGGTGGCTAAAAATCAACGAACACTTGAAAAAAAACTGACGCAGAGCAAGATTGAAGCCGGCGAGGAAGGCGCACCACATGCGTGGAATGGTGGAATGCATGCGGCAAGGCAGGTGCCACTTTTTTGGGGCCGGTGCGGTGTTAGTGCAGCGCGTGCTCGGAATAATCAGTAATCGTTTAAAAATCACCGGCATTTACAACGAACACAAACGCACGCATGCACATTCACTTTGGAATCAGAACCAGCATTACGGTCCGTTTGAAAAAGCGAAGAACCACCGGTTACTGGATGTTATCGGAAATACTTTGCGCATGTCTATTGTTGTCAGGACACGACCATCCGCCATAGTCGGAAACGACCCCAGCGTATGTCACTGATTCACGCCATTATTTTCATGTGTGCGCATATCATGCCCACGCGTTTGGTACACCACGTGCGCCACGTGGTGAGAGGTGTCGAAACACCGTGTATGATACATGATGCTTTCTTATATGCAAAGCGAAAACACAACAGAATAAGGAATACATAAAAAAAAAAACAGCAAAAACAGTGGAAGCAAGAAAATAACGCACGCGATTAACCTGTCATTATCGGCCGACCAAATTTAAAAGGCCGATCGCTGCTGTGCTGTGCTCCGTGTGGTGTGGCCGACAACTATACCGTATCTCTACAAAATTGTAGGTATACCAAGTTTCGCCACGAAATGCAGGGAGAAACACTAAACGCCGTCGCTTATTGCTGTGCCGATCCATAGCTAAATTATTCAAATGCAATTCTAATTGCGTTTTAACTGCAAAATTAAAAATCATTACTGCGTTTTAATTTCAGCACGATGAGATGCAAATTGCTTGCGATGACAATCTGGAAACAAATGCACGCGCTGGCAAGTAATACGACCCTTTGTAATAATCGTTCCCTTGTAATAAAGCGTTCTAAGAAACGACTCGTAACTTTCTCGTTGAAAAGGAAAAAATGCTCGTAACACAAGCGCGGTGATTATTATCCACGTCTACGTGGTTGCAATATTGCGCCCGTTGCCTTGCAATTGGATGTACTTCCGTCGGAAGCTAGATTACTACATATTCATTAGGTCCCATACACATACTTGCGAAGAAGGAACCACGTAATGTTTCTTTATTTCTTCTTTATTTACGCGCATTCGTAGGCGAGCCATCAAAGAACTGCAACGCTGACTGCATTTACAAAGTACCAATATTGTTTAACTTAAAAAAGTTTTTGTTTATAATGAAACTAATACTTCCTACTTCCGAGTAAAAAATTGGTCAGTTTTTCATCTAAATGTTTAGACATGCAGTTAGTGACATGAAGTATGTAAAAATAATTTTTTTCTACTTCCACCTTTAGAGCGTTAGTTTTTCCACGGTTTTTAGACACAAAAAGGGGTACATTAAACATGGACCGCAGGCAAATGCGCTCCACCCTCGTGAGTAAAGTACTTTAGCCACGACCTTGTCCGCGGGGTTTAAAGTACCTTTTTTGTAGAAAATATAACTTAATTTCATTTCATTATGACCATTTAAATTTCAATTTGAGTTGTACAGCATAGGTACGCAATCTAAATAAAACCTAGATTGCAAAAATACCAAATTTATGGTAATGCCCATACTTTTACTTCAATAACTTGTTTACCTTAATGCAATTTCCGGAGAATGTGAAGCATGAAATAAATATTGATATGTAAAAATATTTCATATGCCAGAAAAGGAAACGAATGGTATAAACAGTTCTCACGTACAAATATTTGCTGACGCTTAATTTTTAATCGTTTAATGTTTAATTAAACAATGAAAAGCCGTTATATGTCCGCGTATGAGGATAATATTTCTCTCACCAGAGTGCACATAACTGAAATGTAATCACAAAATGCAGTCGTTTTAATGACACAATAAAGCCATCAGCAAACATACTAGGGAGTCTCTTAATACGCATTGTTTTATTTCTATTTGCACAACGCACATTTGTGTAGAGGCGCTCCGAAAGGGAGTTAGGGAGCCCTTCCGATCGAATGCGTCTTTACCTTTGGTAAGCCGAACGCCGCACGTGCCCTGAATTCACCGATTATGTAAATACGCTCTCGAATAAAACAGGGGCAGGTGTTTGCTGGCGTGCGTACGCGGGAATGCGAGCGAGGAGTTTGAATCAAAAGCCAAATAAGAGGGCTCGGTGGCATTGGCACGACAAGGTTACTTCTAGTACTTAGGACTTACTTACCACTGCATTCTCTATTTGCAATTCAGCGTGCGAGTGAAACAACAGTTCGAGCGGTGTCGATGCGCGACACAAAGGTGAATAAAAAGGGGAAGTAGCGCCTCGCGACAGCAGCGGAAATGGCTGGATGAGTTCGAGGGTTGCTTCCAGGAAGCTGCTATCAAGTTTCAGGCGGCGCACGAGTACGTGCATTGTGTGTCTACCTATGCTGCGGATGGAGTGCACACGTTGATTAGCAGGCCAACGCCGTCTGGCGCATTATATACTCGTAGTTTTACCCGAATTACATTGCTACTATTATTAGGTGTCAGGTGGTTGAGTTGGAAATTCCCATGCAGTCTACGCGCGCCTCGTGCCCATTCGTTGCGAGCAATAAAAGCAAACTACGTGTAATTTCTAAATCGGCTTGCGATTATTCCCGAACAGTAGGTAGAAATTTTCGAGCGGAAAATCACGAATGGCGCTGCTGCTGATACACTCGGGTCAGCTTTTTTTTTCTTTTTGAAAGCGATTCCCATTCGATCTGACGAGTCCGAGGTTACGCCAGAATGTTCGTAATAAAAATGCCATCGCAATGCGTCTGTTACGTGCGCATACCGATGTTCGCTTACTTACTTACTGGAGTTAATGTTATTCACGAATGCACGTAAATAGCAACGTGAATACTAAACACCGGATTAGAGCATTTTCAGCTACTTTTCGGTAGGCCGAAAATTAAAAGCGATACACAGTGTTATTTAACGTTGTCGGAATGCAGTTTGTGTTTGTTGTACACGGATTTCGGGAAGCTCCCATCGGCGGCTGAAGAAAAAAAAACTTATCACTATTAGCCATTGACACTGACTGACGCTCTTAGGATGCTGCCACTCGCACGGTGTTTATTGTTGTTCTAAACCGAATGAAATTGTCAGAGTCACGTATCGCGGCGGCGTTCAGGAAATTTCGGCGTGGGCGGCAATCAAAGAATTTCGCCATGATTCTTCGTAGAATTCGAGCGAGCGTCGGAATGCCGTAGAATTGTGCAATTGTTTGCGAAACGACAAAACACGGCCGAAACTAACCCAGACCTGTGATGCACTTCCGAAATGTAAGCTATGTGGTTCATACCGGGGCCGATTCGGGCCCGCTTCGAGAAAACGTTCTCATTCTCATTAAAATGCCGTCATTAATATTCAAATTGCTAATTACACTTTCGAGTTTCGTTTACGCCCCTCCTAATACCACAAAAGATTTAATGCTTACCGAATTTATTAACACTTGTTTTTTTTTTTCATCTTCGCTCGGGGTCCACGATCTTACTGGTCGTATCCGCAAGTGCGTTCGTGTGCCACTCGCTCCGCAAATTAATAACAGCCCGATGGAGAATTTAGGCACAGGGAAATTCGCAGCGTGAGCAGGGGTTTGTGCGATGTTGATTGTTAGCAGCGGCGGTTCTCATTAGAGGTTATGCGGCGTTAACGGCGCAGATAATGCTCGCATTTCGCCGGTTTATGCGTTTGTAGTATAACACACGGAGCAGCAGCGCTCCAAATAAAGGGTCTCAGCGCGGTCGTCGCTGGCTCCTCTGCGAGACGTGAGCCCTTGTATGTAATTTGATGGGTTCGGCTCTTGCTACTCAAGTAGTGTTTTTTAATACGATCCCACAACTCCGCTCCGGTTCGTTATAATGGAATGGAGCGCACATTCGTCCAAGGAAAAATATTGCATTTTTCCGAAGCGGGCCCGAGCGCCGCTATTGATTTTTAAATTGCTTCCTAATTTAATATTGTTCCTCGGTTCGCAGGTCCCGGCGTAGCGTGCATATACAAACACTTGCTTGCCTACGATCGGCGGGACGCGCGTGCACACATCTATCCGACCGCCGCCGTGCCGTCCAGACGATTTTAAAACGGTGCTCCCCCTTTTTTCTCAGCTCGCCTTCTTAATAAATACTGCACTCGTTTTAAACGTTTTCGGCGCTGGGCTTAGGCAAAGTAGTCGCGCGCCCATGCTCGGCTGGCCCTCGGGGCATATGAGAAACTGAAAATTCGATTGTGATCGCCAGCCCCCAATCTCCATTTATGCGTGCATGGGATACCTGTGCGCGCGCGGCCGTGCACGTTACGTACACTCGTTACGCTCGTCGGAATAGGAAGGAAAAATGACCGAAATTCCACGATTTTAATTAAGCCGCGTACGGCAAAATGTGCTACCTCTAACCATCGGCGAGCCGGGTATACAGGGTGTGCAAGCGCACCCACGGCAGCACCGCCGCGGCCCGCACGAGGAGCTCGCCGCATCGACGACACCGTATAATGCGCTTATGAATAATAATTAGATAAATCATTTGAGGCAATTATTATAAACGATCGATGCCTCTGACTGCAAGTTTGAAAACGAAATTCCTCCATGTCATTGATTCGCGACTTTCGTTTCGATCGCACGCCGCACGAAATTGCGAAAAGGCACCGTATTCGGGTAATCGCGGCCGAATCCATATCACGCTCGTGTGGGTTGGTTAATCGCTTGCCGAAAAAGAGGAAAACGTTTTCTGGCGTCTTTAATTTGATAGCCGATAGCCGATGTATGCGATTAAACGAGGCGCGTCATTTTTACCGAAAAATTACAATAATTACGTTACCTACCATCATCCCATTATTGGAAGTATATGCTTACATTCATATGATTTCTATATGAATCCGGCGAGTCACGAGCACGTCGTGGCCAAAGAATTGGTATGAAATTTATAATGCGCTCGCCGGAGTTTTATATAAAAATTAAAATTGCTTCATCATAAAAATATTCTTTTACACATAAACATAATTTAATATTATATATTCCTAGCATAATTTCGAGCGAGCCGCGCGTCCGGCGCTTTGCCAGCATGCGCGCCGATAAGTGAAAAAAATTTAACGAAGCAGCGCGGAGTAATGTTAATTGCTTCGCATTCGTATGCATTGCATTATGCCGCGTGCATTAGCGGAATCTAATGTCCGTAGAGATCGCGTTCCGGAAGGTGAGCACCCTAGTTTTAATAACCATCCGACAGCGCACTCAACCAGTCAGTCTGCTTATTCATTGTTGCATCACAATTCGGTGCGCAACGCACTGTTGCTGCCATGTTCTCTACAAAAAAGAGGGTGAATTATTTCATTCACACTGGAACAATTAGGTACTTCAGAACACTTCCATTTCATTCATTTGTATACGACAGGGCATTATTTAAACAAATTTACATTTTGAACAATTGAGAATTTGCATGAACCTACTGACAGGTGGTTTTGTACAGTGTGAATATTTTTACTGACTTTTAGCTGGCTAGTTGGTATAAAAGTTTTTAAAAGTTTGAAATAAACTTTTCGTCTAGTTCAAACCCCGTGCAATTTGACTGTAATTTGTACATTTGTCTTGCTATAGTCCATCCTGAACATGTGGTTAAAAGACATACCTACCTACCTACTCTTAATATTTCCTCACTGGATGAAATGGAACCAAAAATCTTTTTTTGCACTAAAAATGCAAAGCAAAAATTGCTCCCATAATACCTATCTTAAAGGACAAGCAAAGCAAATCAAAATTAATTCAGTTACCTACATCTGCATTTAATTAGATAGGTACCTCTACATATAATATACCTAGATCATCGTAATAGATCAAGATTTCCTTATTATAATAAAATAAATATTATCTGCGTAACACAGCTACCATTGTAGAAAAAAAAATTGCGTGCAAAATGAATGTAAGTAGAGGTATAAGTCTCGTTGTAGCCACTTAATAGGCATAGGTACAATATTTAAGTAAGTAGAAATATCCACGAATGGTGGTTGGTTCCAAACTGCTTGTTTTGACGAATCGATTGCGCCCCGGCCAGGCGGCTAATAATTTGTTTCAATTTCGAATGCTCAGTGTTCCTGGCGTGCATCGCTGTATGCAAAGACGCGGCAGGTGTTTTATTTATTGTTTGCCGTCATTACAACCGCCGCGCATCGTTGACTCTCCCTAAGCACGCGGGCCATGGCTTTTTAAACGCACCGCTTGGATGGCCAAAGTGAACAATTCCGTACCGACATTGTCAGCGAGTTGGTTCACGCGTACGCGCGCGCGTACTTACGCAATACTCATCGTTACGATAGTTGAGGTGTAGGAAGTTTTGCCACCGAATGAATGCGGTAATGCTTGTAAGCTCATAGGTTTCGGATTGCTCGTGATCGCACATGCCAAAAACTGTCATCACTCTCCCTGGCCGCTAAACAATTCGAGCAGTTTGCAACACAACACAGGGCCGCATTGCTTCACGCCGGTGCGAGTGCGAGGATCGCCGGCGTCGATTGCCACCTGTCGTTGACACGCGTCTCCACCTGGCTTCCTAGACATCACATCCGCCAGCCGTGGTTCAGCGAGTGGATGCAAGCGTATGCCGCCGAGCGGCACGTGTGTGCGTCCGCTTGTGTGTGGGTGCGCGCATCTTTCATCCCCTGCACGGAATATGGCACGCAACGCAAATGAGTGCACGATGCGGGCATCGTCATATGTCGGGTCGTACCTATTCAGCAAACACCGGCGGGCATGGGGCACGCGATAGGTACGTTAATGCATCCGATGATGACAGGATGCATCCAGGGGGCACCCGATCTACCGATACCTAAGTGGAGTAGAGCACGTGCCAGTAATCTCGCAAGATGCACTGCATTTTATACCCCGTCTGTAAACATCATTAGTCGAACACCTTGATATTTCAAAACTTTCATCCCCCGCATCCAAAGAGTGATCAAAGAAAAACACTAAACCAACAACTAAACCAAGCGCAAGTAGGTATGTTACAATTCATTTGCAACAATCAGTTGTAGGTACGTGGATTTACGCGAGAGCGTTTAGAAACAACAATAGCGTTTTAAAAATATGCCGTTGTTTTATTCGTGTGAAAACTTTTTCGTTTCGCTCGCCTCGGCGAGCGGCACCGATGCCATTTCTGGTTTCTGGTTCTCATGCCATAACACATTGTGCGGCGAACGGTTTTTATTAACTGTATCGCATTGTTCGCATGGCTTATCACTTCCTTGCTGCGTCTAATATTTTACGGCTGCGTTGTGTTTTCGGAAGCGCGTAAAGTTGCCATCATCCCCGAGTCGCTTCGGCGCGGCGGATACTTCAGAAGCGGGCTGTAAAACGCGAAGAAAACAAACAAATTTCAAGCGCCGCCTACGAACGCCCCCACTTATAAACAAACAAAGCGTACCATTGGCCGACTAGTGCGGCGCAGCACAGCGGCGAGCGGCATTCCTTGCCGGCGCTATGTGCGGACATATGTGAAACGCGGGGGAATCCCTGTGCCGCTACGTTGTACACGTCGGTCCGTACCTGAGCGTACTGATAGTGGGGAGAATATATATAAGGCAATATCTTCGGAACGATTTCAGTTGCCTGTGAATGTTGGTTGTGAGCGTGTTGATTAAACGTCGCATTGAACTAACCGCAGCGAAATCGAACGGTGCAGAGTTTTTCTAAGTGAGCAATTGATTTGTCGTGTTTAATTAAAATCTACTCAAAGTGCTCAAGACGTCCACGACGGATATAAACAAATAGTCGCAAGTCACCAATGTGTAAGTTTGATTTGTTTACGTTTGTTTCGAATTTGTTGATATTATTATTGCGGTTGATTTGAGATGCGTTCGCCGGTATGTCTCTCTCGGCCGATTAGATTCTTTCGCCTGATTAAAATCGCATAAGAGCCGCGTGTTTTTGCGCTGTCGCCGCGGTCGCGGCATTATGGTTTTGCATTATTGTGCATCACTTTTGATTTGGCGCAAGACGCGCACAACGTGTTCGGCGTAATAAGTGTGCGATATACGCGGGCATCTAGTGCGGCGCAAGGCAGCCGGGCAACGCGAATAAGGCATAAATGGACATAACGAATATACTACGTAAACGAGATGCATTCAATTGCGATGCGCGCATGCACATGGCAAATAGCGATGGGCCGCCGCGATGGGTGAGCGCGCGAGGCGGCCGAAGAGATGCATGATCTCGCCGTGGGATCGCCGCTCGTCGGGTAAAACGCGTTCAATGCTCGACAACTTTTGCGGTAAATTATTGATTTACGGTTATTATTATGATTATTATTTACATCCGCGTATCTTTGTAGTTTTTAATGAGTTGCAAGCGGACGGTCTCGCCTCCCAGCTTGATGATGGTCTTCGGTGAGATTTCCGCGAGACGCGCGGAATCCCTCGCGCATTTATTATATTTTATTTGTTTTTGTTCATGCGGGCATTGTGCTCGTAGCATGTTTGCTTTGCTTTTTCTGTTATCGCAGGCGTAAAACGAAATGTCCTTAAAATCGAACGTCTAAACGCAATTAGCTCGTTAAGCAAGCGCGGCGGTACCTATGACAAATATTGGTGCATGTGTAATATTGAGCAATGTTTGCTCATTCACACAAATCACTGACAGTCAAATATTTCTAACAGATACGCAATGCAACAACTCGCGCTGTTGTTTCACGGTTTGAGTCATCCGCGCTTTCCTCAATCAGCGCAACGAACGCAACGAATCTCGTCAGACGTTGACGTTGCTTTATTTAATCTGCTCCGATTTGCACTGTTTTCCCACACCAAGCTACAGCAAAGCAAAGGCGTCGCTTTGCTACCTTTCTTTACTTTCTTCGCTCGAGTACTCGTACTCGCACCATGCCCGGCTGTGGTCTGTGTGTGTGTGTATTCAGTATATTCAAAGCTTGTGTACTTTTTGTATCGTCGGAGAATGCCTGGTATTTCCGTTTTCTTTTACAACTCGCCACTTTACTAGATCGGCGTCACTATCGCGCGTAACAACGCGTAGTAAAACGCTAGGTTAATGGTTCGCTAAAACCGTATTGACATTGGCCGGCGGTTGCTATTTTGGATTAGAAGTAGAATACTACGGCTGCCGAATGGGGACCGCTCCACAATCGCAGCGTGCGACGATTTCGCGCTCGACGCGACGAGAAGAAACTCGCGTCCGCAGTCCTGGATCTGGCGTTTCGCTCTCGTCGGTGAATTTTCGCTTCGCCGCGCCGCGGAACACCTCACAGCGCCGTCCCTGACCGACGCACTTGTACGTGCTACAACTGTAAGTACGCACGTAACATTCAAGTGCGAACATAAATCCACGCTCTTCGCAACACGTATTTATTTAAATACCCAGACGACATTTATTAATAGTAATGAGAGCGTCGAGTTAATGAACTTATTACGGACGTTGTATAATATATTCGCGGTTCTTCTTCGGCTGCTGCTGCGCTGCAGGCCTGGTCCGGGCATATCTCACGATGAATATTTGTTTGTCGCAGCGTCGGGCAATAATTAATATTTATTTATAAAGACTTTATTTATCAAATTGCGGCGCGCGCGTTTTGATGCTGTCAGCTGAATCGTCTCGCGGAGGTCCACACAGTATGAATTTATATAGAGTATGCGTCGCGCGAGACTCCGTTCACGTATGCATTGCATTAAACGCGGCCGGTGAACAAAAAAGAAGCGTGATGTATATTGTTATTCGAATGCGTATGTCTTCTGGGATCGTAGTTGGAATGCGTTGTATACATTATATAGCATATTGTATGAAATAGAATAGCATACAGGGTGTCACCACATTCCAGACACCGTCATGTCTGAAATTGATTCGAAACTAAACATCGTATTCAATCAAACTCAAGCTACAATATCAACATAGAATAACAAACTTCGCATCAACTAATGCTTATATTTAAGTTGGTGGTGATGGTGATGGACATTACGAGGTGTCCAATTAGGGTTTTAAATTTGAGCTGATTAAAAAGTGTGTGGCGATAATAAGGGCAGAGGGCTCTCGTTGTTGTGAGATGCTGAGTTTGAAACACCTTATATAGACGCGTATGTATATCTGGTTGGTTATATACGAGCTGGGGAGCGGGCTCGTGGGCGAATGTGGGATGAAAAAGGCCCACGCGGTGGACGCGGTTCCCACGGCACCGCCACAGCGCAAGAACCCATCGCGCCGGCGACGCCAACTAAAAGAAACAACGTCCACGGCAAAAACGACCACAGCGAATACACCATATAAGCGACCATGTGATCCGGTTATCACAAATTTCGTTCAGCTTTGCCTTTTTAGCTATTCGAAATCGCTGCCAGAGCGTTACGAATAGATTTCGATTCTTTGCTTTTCGGCCGGGCGCGCGCAAGAGCAAACAAACAAGCGCGGACACAATGCCAACCAACTGCCCGACCGCATTACTACGAGTCCTGTATTATTGATTGGCGGCGCGCATTAAAAAAACAAACACGCCGCCTCGCGTGTGAAACGCAAGGGAGCGGTGGCCGTGGGGACGGGGACGGCCAGCAGCCTAATCGATTGCGGTCCGAGGGTGTATTAGCGACGAATGTCCATGTGGAATAACTATTCGATTTCTTGTACAACGTGGTGCGCCAATTTCACTTGGTTGGACGATGACTCATGACATAAGAGTTGCAAGTCCGATAATCTAGCGTTGGCGATTTCTAGTTTACATAACCCGGACGCACTCGCTGCTAACGCGCTGTTTATTTCGCACGGTACGCGCTTCCGTGCACAAGAAATAGGCCATTCCGATATAATCAATTGCGCTCACAATAACCCAGGCGATTATTAATGTTTGTGTTATGATGGTGTGCTTAGCGATTCGCCGTCTCCATGACGAGAGTCTGATCCGCTAACAATGCGCGCACACGATAGCGCCGTCCGGCGAGTTCCTGGCCCCCGGCCGGATCGTTCACACATTCGGACACACGCTATGCTAATCATAAGGAACAAAGCGGCGCGCGCGCGCGCGAGAGAGCTACCAGTAGACGGGCGCTCCGTCTGGGGCCTAGACTGCGCTCCAGACAGTTACGGTAACGCGACGTCGACGATCGACCAAGCCGCAGCGAGTTCACACAAGTCCGTGCAGGTCCACGCCGGCACTCACACGCTGGCGCGCGCGTGTCTCCCACTTCCACGACCTCCTCCGCACTCTCTTCGGCGATCCGCTGGCGTGCGCTTTTTTGTGAATTCTGGCATCGATCAGCTGGTCGTAAAATCAACTCCGAGTTTGACAAACAATCATAAAATTGGCTCTCAGCCAAAACACAAGAGGTCAAAACACTATGAAAATGCATTCTTGCACCAGTTTTAGAGGATTTGCGAGATGGAGCGAGAGGTCTCCGGCGACAACCACCTGCGGTCGTGCGGATGGCGACAAACGAAGATAAAGAGCGCGTTTTATTTGCTGTCATTTGCAATCATCGCTTCAATCAAAGTCATGCATGCAATTAGTCAATAAATTGCTTTGTTTCGTTGAGTAATAGCCACACATGAACTAACGCAGCTCAAACGTCAAACTTGTGTGATGCGGATTAGGTAAGTTGACAAGTTGCGCCTGGTTGAGATTGGAAGAACTGGTACGCTTAGCAAAAACGGAAGTCTTCATATAAAAAAAAAACACGAAACATTCCCCAACTTATGTTTTCTCGCTCCTATTGTCGCTTGCGGAAATCTGTACAAACTTGTTCGAACTTGCACACACATTGTGTAAGGGTGCAAAAAATAATGAGCCGGAAATTTCGGCAAAAACTACAATCGATTCTATACGTTTTACTCCTTCTTTGTCTATCATGCACTCCCGCATGAATAAAAAGTTAACGCAAATTTCGCATTGCTTCATATCGTAAAATAATGAAAACAATCGCAGGATCATAATGGGTGTAGTAATTCTTTTTTTTGTTGTTAAATAATCGTAATGTCAACGAACTCATACCTCGCACACATCGCGAACCAATCTCGACTTTCCTATTCAATGCGAACATTTTACTAGCGTGGAATAATAATACTAATATAATAGTGTGTGCTCATTAAATATGCGTGTTGCTCGTAGACAAAATACAGCGAGTTTATTTGGAAGAAGGAGTCACCGTGAACACAATTCGAGAAATCGAAATCGCGCGCTCCTAGCGACAATTCACCATTTCTGTTCGATTGTCATTGATTGTGCGACAAGAGGCACACTGTCGTATCAGTCATTGTGCTCGTTTAGGTATATGCAAATGCATTCGCTAGCAAAGTGCCTAATCGATTCGCCGCGTTGTCAAACGTATGTTGTTATTAATTACGGATTTATTGTGATCCGGATTTTCCTACTCTGTATATGAGAAACGCGCATTTCTTGTTTCACGCGCGCCGAGACAATAACTGTACATGCGCGGCGAGTTACCTACATTGTGTGACTTATTGCATCCGTTTTGTTCACAGCTAATGTATAGCGAGGACATGTTGCGTTGGGATTAATTCTTACATTCATTCTGTAGCTCACTCCGACATGGAGGTTCTCCGGTTAAATTAATTCTCATTCGGCGTGTGGATCGCTGGCGATTTAAATATAATAGGCGTTGTCGCCCAGATAAATTTTAATTCGAACATGCCGTTCAACGGACATACCTGTCTCGCGTCCGCCCGTCAAATCGTGTCGTTTGCAAGATTATTCACATGATGACTGCGATCAGCGGGATCAGCCTGGCGCGTTTAGATGACGCCACACGACCGCATGGCTAATTGATAATTTGCGGCGCTTTGGTGCCGCGTCGTACCATTGAGCGTCGTTATCACTGCGCATCGTGACCGCTTTTAAACAATTTAATCAGTTAACGGCTAGGCGCCATGATGATAAACTCCAAACGAAACAAATTGACTGATTTGTTGGTTAATGAGACGCCAACTCCATCCGCCCAGTATAACACTGGTGCAATAATACCTACATTAAAGTGCCTGTAATTATTTAATAGTATTCTTTTATTTTCTTGTCAATTTGGCGTTTCCTGGTGAAACATTTTTTGCGTATGTATTAAATTCCTTCTACTGGTTTGATGTTGTTCGTCACCAGCTCATTGTCCTTCGGGGAAGGGCCTCCATCCCCAATCGGGTTTAAGGCCCCATTCGGGCTCAGCTTCATTGCCGCCGTCGTCTTTCATTGGGCGCCAATCGGGCTTGTATTCAGTGGAGTCTGGCTCCGGCTCGGCGGCACCGCCACCGTCTATCTTCGGCCTCCAACCGATGTCTGCCGGATCGGGCTTGAATTCTTCCGCGTCTGCGTCTAAGCTGTCTGGATGGTAGAGACATAAAATGATTATTGCCAGAGATACAATAGCATTGATCGCCAGTTTGATATTTTCTCGTGACCATCCTTCATTCTCTCCGCATTTCTCTTCTGGAGGTGGCGGTTCATCATTCCGTTGTCGCTGTTGTTTCGGTGGTGCGGGTTGTTTCTTGCATGGTGCAGCATGCTTCTTGCACTCCGCGGTTGGGTACTGCGCTGGCTGTACTTGCTCTTTGCATTGCGCCGCACATTGCTGCTGAGCCGGTTGAGCATCCTGCTGTTTGCTTTGATTGGCGGCTTGTTCTTTGGGCGGCGGAGCATCCTGTTTCTTGCCCTGCTCACTTTGCTGCTCCTTTGGTTGTGGGCACCCCTTATCCTTAGGCGGTGGGCACCCCTTATCCTTTGGTGGTGGGGCTTCTTTATCCTTCGGCGGAGGACTACCTTTCTCCTTTGGTGGCGAACTCTCTTTATTCTTTGGTGGTGGCGCCCCCTTATCTTTTGACGGCGGAACTCCCTTTTCCTTCGGTACTGGAGTCCCCTTATCTTTTGGACTCCCTTTTCCTTTAGTTTTTCCTTTCTCATTTGCATCTTGGTCATCTTCCTCCTTGGGTGGTTTACATTGTTGGGATCGCCTCTTGCATTGCTCCTGCTTGTTTTGCGCGGCTTGATCCTTCTTGCACTGTTCCTGCCTATTTCGCGCGGTATTCTCCGGCTTGCACTGTCCCTGCTTCCCTTGCGCGGCCTGATCCGGCTCGCATTGCTCCGCTGTCTGTCCTTTGGGGGGCCTCGGCGAACACACACCACAATTGCCGTCTTTGTCAACCCGAGTTGTGGACATAATTGAATATAATTTAAAGTACTAATTTAATCGAAAATATAATTTGTATGGCGAAATGGTTTGTGTTTAAGCACTGAGAATTTGTGTGTGAGACGACGACGTGTTCAGTGAAAATTTGCTCGAATGACTTGTTTACATCGCGATGAATTTGTTTTTCATGGCTGGTCAATTTTTCGACACGCTATCAATATTTAAATTTTTGAGAAAAGTGGAGCGCGGAAAGTATACAATCGATTTCTCATCATGAGTTCTATTATGGCCAAGTATATAAGAGGTTATATGTCCTAAATAGGTACATTGTTTACGTACAAATATGAAAACTAATATAATTTTTTTCTACTTGCAGATGACAGGAAAGAGATCGCGCAGCTTTAAATGTGCCGTACATCATCGAGATAGGGAAGTGTCATCCGAAAACGACTTCCACTTACTTCTAGTCGAAGCATCGTTCTTTCGCAGGTACGAATCGTTTTAATTGTCAGCCGTTTTCGAGCAATGTAATTAAGTAAATGAAAGCGTTGGACACATTTTCCTTTTGATGCCTTCGCACGACTGTGCGCTCGGTGTTTAAATAGAAACCCGCCAGAGTGAATGGATGAAATGTGTTAGTTCAAGAGCGGCGAAATAGTGAAAATTATAATGACCGTGATATATCATTTTAAGCTGCAAGATGCAGATCACAGTCATGGATATTCAGAGCACGGTCTATTAATTTCCCATGGGCATCGTAATAATGTAGCATAAGAGTAAACACGTCCGGATGCACGAAAATAAATTTCACTTCATTCATTACTATCGTCGTTCGTCTATGAATAATCTTACTTTACGCTCCCTGTTTTAAATTTGACAGCTTTTTAAATCAACGATGTCGCGACGCACATAACGACATGCGACGTCCATTAATATGGTGTCAAAATTGATTAATCTTGGACATGGCTTCATCAAAATTCTTGCTATTTTTTTCGTTGCATTTGCTGAATTTAGCATTGTATTTCAGAATGGTCGGAGTAATTGCAAAGGAATTCCTGACGGACGAAAGGGACCGGAAGTACTACGCGGACCACTATACCTGCCGTCCGCCGCCAATCTTCATAATCATCGTCACACTTGTAGAGGTAAGTTAATTGTTCTTGATTAGCCTTCAATTTATTTACGACTGCGGCTGGGCCACGGCTGCGGAAGCACCTTTGTTTGCGAGCAGCGAGCGAGCATCTGCTGATGATGGCATTTTGTCCCCGAAAGCGAATATCTGACCATCTTGCCGCAGTATGCGTGAGTGCAGACTGTGAGGGCACGTGTTCAATGTTACGCCAAATTCGGCTCTCTCGAGCATCGAGAGCAAACGAGAAGCACGTGCGCAGTGCCGTTTTCCCCTAATTCCCTAATAAATTTATAAACGAGGGTAATTCCCCTTTTACGGAAACTTATCTTACCCCTCTGAAACGCAGGGCATGTTTATAAGACCAGCCTGCAGTTCGACAAATCGAGTAAATCTTGGATCTTCCAGTTTATATATAGAAAAAGGCTTCCTGTTCATGCGGTGCTTCCTTCCAAAGTAGTAAATTTGGTGTAAAATAGGGTAATTATAGAATTTCCAATTGGAAAAAGTGAAATTTACCCTCCTGCAGACCTGCGCGCACGGGCCGTTGCTTTTTCTTCCTTTGCTCGCATCCGTAACCAAACGGATTTTTATTTATAGAGTCAAGTCGGTAGCGACGACCAAATGCAACTTTGCAATGATTGATACCGGCTCTCCTGCGCTGTGTGTGTTTTGTTTCCCTGCTCGCAGCAATCGAAACGTACAGCGTGTAGATTGACATCTTCCGGGTATTATTTCTTTAATCCCGTGCGTGGAAAGTCGTATTTATAGCGCGTTTTGCCTCAAAACCAAATGTGTTCCGAAGATATATATCACTAAGAGTTTCCTCTTCTATTTCAGCTTGGATTTTTTGTTTATTATTCAATCAGTATGGGTGAACTCAATCCGTCCGGTCCAGTGCCCAAAGACTCCGTCTTAATATACAGACCAGATAAACGCCTGGAAATCTGGCGCTTCTTCCTCTATATGTTGCTTCATGCAGGGTAAGTGTTCAAATTTGCAATGTTTTACTTTGTTTCATTGCAATGTGAACTAATCAAATGTTGACCATTGCAGTTGGGTCCATTTGGGATTTAACCTTTTCGTGCAGCTGATGGTGGGCCTGCCGCTGGAAATGGTCCACGGGTCAGCACGCGTCGCGCTAATTTACATGGCCGGCGTTGCGGCCGGTTCCCTCGGCACGTCCGTCTTTGATCCGGACGTGTTCCTTGTTGGAGCCTCGGGGGGCGTCTACGCCCTCTTAGCCGCCCACCTGGCTAACGTTCTGCTCAATTACAATAACATGCAGTGTGGTATTCTGAGGTTATTTGGCATTTTAGCAATTGGTAAGTTTCGCAATGCTTAAAACTGAAACATGTACTTATTTTGAATTGATATTGCAGTGTCCTGCGATGTGGGTTACGCAATTTACTCGCGCTATGCCGCGGAATCTATGGGCCCCCCGGTGTCATACGTGGCGCACCTGACAGGCGCCGGCGCCGGTCTCACTCTCGGCCTGTTTGTGCTGAAGAACTTTGAGCAGAAGCTGCACGAACAGCTCTTCTCGTGGGTGGCGCTCGGCATCACCGCCGCCTGCACGATATTTGCGATCATCTTCAATGTGATGCATCCGAATATTGAAACGCTGATTGACCTCGGCGACGGCGTCAACAGCGAGTACGTATACAATCGCTTCGGCGTGTAATTGCGATTGACGCCAGTCGCGAGCGCACGTCAAAAGACATTATACATTTGTAAATACTTGGACTGGATTTGTACGCATTTACTATGACTAGTACTGATAGTCTGTCCGCGGAGGACCGCACGAAGCTGTACCAAAGACTGAACATTGGACATTGCTCTTGTATTATTATTTATTTATATCTCCATTCGTATAGTACGAACAAGTCGCGCACTAGTTTGCAACTTTTCACATGCTGTTCATACGTAATATTTATGGCGCGATGTTGCGTACTTGTAGATTATTATGATAATTATTGATTCTTGATACCAGACTAGTATTATATTTTTTAACTATTGGTAGGGCGATGGGCGGCGGAGTGACGATTCACGCCAGAAGGAAGAGACAATTCAATTTTGGTACTAGCGGAGCGTCACCCGTTCGCATTTATACTGACTGCCCAGATTAGAGATGATTTCGTAATTATTTCATAATCATATTTTTCTCGAGTGATATTTCCATGCTAGTCATTAAACTTGTATATTCACTTTTGTAGTAATGGACGACAAATTATTACGTGAAAAATGATCTTTATGCTGCAAGTTGTATGTGTTACACATATGCGTTTGATATAGAAGAACCAATTTGATTTCAACCAAAGAAAAAAACTAGTTATTATTGTTTTATTTTTCACAATGCAAGCAATAAAAATTATATTTAAAAATATCTACATTGTATTTTTCTCTAATTCCTAGTATCCATCTTTGCTACCCACGACTGCATCATGTGTCTCTACTTTATGAATACATATTAGAGAAATTGAACTTATCAATCTAATACTCACCTGTTTCACCTGACAACTCCGCAACATGTACATTTGGTTCGATTTATTTCTGCCACAATTTTAATAACTGATTTAATCATTATATCGAACTTTAATAATTAAAAATGCAGCGCACCATTTTTACTTCTATCGAATTGCGTGGATTGTCAAATCTTGAAAACTGCATTACAGCGACATCTAGCCAAAGTTAGTATCAACCAAGCAAATAATCAGCTGCGTAAAACACTCGCAGGAATCGAACCAAACAGACCTATGTCCTTGAAGCGCTCAAAACGCTTGAAATCCTGCTGTTGTTTCTGCTCCCCCGCTTTTATTACATGAAAAGCGCGCCGCGATGTTGTTTAAATTGTGTAACTTTCCAACGCTCTCGTTTTCTCGAAACAAATGAATGTGTTGCTACGAGTCCTATATTTCTGGCATTTCAGCAATCATTCATTTTCTGAGTAAGTAAAAACACGGACGTTTTTCTCTGATCATTTCGTATTTCTGGAACATTTACACCGTTCCAAGCCAAAAAACCTTGTGGAAATCATAATTAACCTACACCGTTTTTAAATTTTCATTTGCAGGTACCATTTGACCTTAAAAACATAAATCTTGAAAGAAAGATGCTCAGAAAATTAATCAACACTGTGATCGACACGCCGCTTCAAACGCCGACTGCCTTTCCGCACCCGTTCACCAAGAAGGAAACCCTGCACCTGTCTTGGCTCACCCAGCTAACACCATGTTTCCCTATCAGTGCCAAGAACATTTCCATTCTTTATGAACCAGCAGACTTTTACAATGCATTGCTTGAGTATGGCCAAAAAGCCAAGGAGCGGATCACTATTGCCAGCCTTTATCTGGGCAATGGGGACCTGGAGAAAAAGTTAGTCAAATCACTCATGGATAACAGTCAGCTGAGCCAATTGAAGATTAATATTTTGCTTGACTATGCAAGAGGCAGCCGATTTGCGAATAATTCCAGGTGAGTTTTGAAACTGAAATTACATAAATCATGCATGTATACAGATGTAACATTAATCTTTTATAGGAAAATGCTTCAGCCACTGTTACAGCAATCATCCAGCTGTACACTGTCGTTGTATCACACACCAACTCTGCGCGGCGTGCTGAAAAAGGTCATGCCAAACAGATGGAATGAGCTGTTTGGCGTGCAGCATATGAAGCTTTATATTTTTGACGATACACTGATCATCAGCGGCGCTAACCTGTCGAACGATTATTTTACAAATCGGCAGGATCGCTACTTCGTTATCAAAGATAACAACCTCTGTGATTTCTACGACGGGCTGATCAAACGTGTGCAAAAGTTTAGCATCAAAGTAGACGAGAACGATAGCGAGGAATTTGGGGAATACGGCTCACCGTACGAGGGCAGTAAGAACAATTTTATAGAAAAAGCCGGCGACGGAATTGAGAAGTATTTGGCGGAAGTAAAAGTAGATCAGAACAACCATAAACATGAAGGTTTCGGTAAGTTATAGATTTGTTTCACGTCGAATAAATACCAAAGACTCAATTTTAGATACGTGGATATTTCCATTAGTTCAAATGGGCCAGCTGGGTGTTGTACAAGATGTCCAAGTTACTGCGAAAATCTTCGGTGATGCTTTACCCGGCACTCGCATGAATATCGCGACCGCATACTTCAATTTGACGCATGATTATGTCCGAAGTTTGATTTTTAAATCAAAGGCTGAGTGTAACTTACTCATGGCGCATCCGGAGGTACATATACATAGTGTTTTCCAAGTGAAAATTTAAGTTAACCTTGTTGAAATCTTAAGGCAAATGGATTTCTTGGCGCAAAAGGAATGGCGGGTGGAATACCGGATGGATATACACTCTTAGCGCGCCGATTCAAGGCACAATTGGACCGTCAATGCCAGCAGAACCGTATACACCTGCTGGAGTATATCAGGAAGGGTTGGACATACCACGCAAAGGGTTTGTGGTACTATTCGCCAGGCTCTGAAAAGCCCAGCATGACTCTGATTGGGTCCCCCAACTTTGGCGATCGGTCTGTGTTAAAAGATCTCGAGACGCAGATTGCCATCGTCACCGAGAATCCTGAATTGCAGGAAAAGCTGCACGACGAATGCACCCGCTTGTACAAATTGGGCCTGCGTGGCGATTTCAAACGTGAAGTCCCACATTGGGTCTACGCGATGGTGTTCCTATTCAAAGACTTCTTTTAGTCGGCTATCTAGTCATCATCATCATCACGCGTCATCCTTCTTGTTGCCTATTGTGATAAATTCGTGATGCGATCACATGCAAAATCTATGTTGTTGATTTGTTGAAATAAATTTTATCTGCGATTGCACATTATAAATGTGTTTACACGATCAAATATTTGGCCATTTCGTGGAATACACGCATTTGTAATTAATACGATAATGATAAATAATGCATCATAATAAAAAAAATTTGATTGTGCACATGTGCGGATAAGCGGCACGCGATTTACCTACAATTTTACTAAACGTCGGCAAATCGCATGTTTTGTATACCGTACACTGTGCACTTACGCACACGCGCTTAGGTCCGCAACGTGCAACCACTTACTCATTGTTTTTGGCGATTCAATAAACATTTACGGTAAAATTGTTCCTTCGCGACAGTTGGTGTGAGCATGTAATGCTTTGCTAATTACAATGCGTATATTATTAGCTACTTTTCTTAATGCATCAATTCGTTTGTGCAAGTTCGGCGTGAATCAGACAAGTGTGCGTAATCGAAACATTTGCGATGTGCGAAAGAATTAGTAGGTGAGGAGCGATTTGCGAGTATAATATCGCAAATTATATTGCTTGATAAGTATTGCCAAAATTAAGAAAAATAGTTGCAATTGTGTCTTGAAGTGTAAATGTGGGAAGCAAAACTGGATAACGCAAAATCGTAGGAAGAGTTTACAAAGAATTGTGATCAAGCCAAAGTTGTGATTTGAAATCATGCTGGTGAATCACATTAAAGGGTTTATTTGCGGGCAAGAATGGAAGCAAATTTTTGCAATATTAACAGGTAATTTTTAAATTATTCGTTGAAGATAAATTCGAACTGAATTTTTCAATACAATCGAAATAATTTAGAGCATTTCATTGCTCTATAACAAAATTTAAGTAAATAAACAAATTCTTTGTGTGCATGGCATATCTAAAGTGTAAATGATATCATGCATTGCATTCTTCACTAATGAATATAAACATGTGTCGCTTTAAGTATAAATCTGATAACAGTTGCACAATGAAAAATGATACATTATTCGCACTAGTACCTTATGCTTTAAAAAGTTTACCAATGTGCTTGAAATGTATCGTTTAGTGCCTGACATTATTTTGTCAGTTTATATCTCACAGATTTGCATATTTTATATTATAACTTACCGTCATTGTTGTTTCAGCTGCATTGGTATCTCTGAATACGGCTCTTCTCTATGCCTGGCCATCACCATCGATACCAATTCTTTTATCATCTGAATTCCCAACGAATGTGACGATGGAAGAAGCATCCTACACAACAGTAATTCCCTCTATTGCGTCAATATTCTCGAGTCCCCTTTACCCATTCCTGATGGATAAATTCGGTCGTAAAATAACCCTCCTTTCTGTAGCTCTTCCGCAAGTTCTATCCTGGATACTTATCTCAAAAGCAAACGACATTTACACCATTTACTTGTCGCGTTTACTGAGTGGATTTTCGAATTCTTGCCTCTATGCGACACTTCCAGTCTACATTGGTGAAATATCCTCTCCAAAAGTGCGTGGCTTATGGGGAAACGCCATGTCCTGCTGTGCATACTTCGGACTCTGCCTGATGAACATTGTGGGTTCCATGAACTCGCTTCGATCAACAGCAAATATTTTCCTTGCCATTCCAGTGATTTTTTTCCTGCTGTTTATGGCAATGCCCGAGACTCCTTACTATCATCTAATGAATGGCGCCGAAGAAAAAGCTTACACTGCTTTGAAGTCACTTCGACGCAATCAAGATACCATCGAAAAGGAATTCGTTGAAATGAAAGAAGGTGTTGCCGAGCAGATGGATGCCAACAACCGCTTTGTAGACCTCGTACGTGTGAAAAGCAATCGCCAAGCGTTGATTATCGCCATTACGGTACGTGGTATTCAACAGTTCGCAGGGATTTCAGCATTTGCCGTATACGCGCCCTATTTGTTCGCGCGGGTTGATGGTGGTATCACTGCAAGTACTTCAGCGATCATCTACACCGCTGCGTTGACGTTCTGCAGTTGCACTGGCTCTATATTGCTTGATTTCCTGGGTCGTCGCCGAGCGATGATAATTTCCTGCGTTGGATGTGCGGTGGTATTATTGCTAGAGGCTGCATATTTCTACTTCATACCAGAGTTATCCCGCTTGTACCAAATACGAATGCCATATTTTCCAATCCTTGGTATGCTGATCTACGTTCTGGTATACTCCTTCGGGTTGGGTATCATTCCAAATTTGCTCTTGGGCGAACTGTTTCCATCGAATATAAAAGGAAAAGCATTATGTATCTTGAACATCATCTTCGGGATATATTCGAGTATCTCTACCAAAGTTTTTCAGGTGCTATACTCCGCGTATGGGATTTATGCACCAATGTTACTTTTTGGAATATGTTGCATTGGCAGTACCATTTTCTCGGTGTACTTCGTGCCTGAGACCAGTGGAAAAACTTTACAACAGATCCAACGTGATTTAAAAGGATCATCTAATCTAAACCAAGTGGAGGTGAAGGTAGAAACCGATAAGGATAATAGCTAAATGAAAATGTTTAATATATTTGTAAAGATATATTTAACACATAATTAAAGAAACGGTAGGCAGAGATCATAACATAAAACCAACAGGATCCACCATCCAATAGCAAGTAAGATTACAGCAACATTTGTCATATTTGTATAAAATAAAAACAAATTCATTAAAAGCTACAGCATCAATGATATGTTCATAATCATAAGATACATTAAACTTAACGCTAACTAAATAGTATTGCACATAATTATTTGAAGAAAAAACTCAATTTACACGTACTTCTTTAAATATTAATATTAATAAAAAAAATAACCTCAGCTAATTTGCAACTCACTAGCAAGTTGGTATGTAGGTACTAGTACAAGCCGGATGGAAAGTCCGTTAACTTACTCGATGAGTTTCGGCTTCCTGTTGTCGTCATGTAATCTGACTTTTTCGTTCCAATGGTGCTGAGAGATAAATTCTGCCCGGAGTACATTCCCGCGTTGCCATGACCCCTTTTAATGTGGAAGCTGTTGTTCGCCTTCTTCTCTTGGATCCGTGGAAAGTAATAGCGACTTTCCGGCGTGCGATGTTCGTCCACTTTCTGCGTGGGTAGAAACATTTTTGGGTTTTCATACTGATTGCTTGCGGTGGAATGGCGGTTGCTCCTGCACACGTCGACGGTGCTACGACTGACCCCTGAATCACTTTTTAAATTCTGCGCGTCCATTGGATCAAACTTCTCGGTAACAACAATGTCAACCATTGCATCCAAACCATCGCCCACGCGATCTAAAGACTTTGACTTGTATTCGTGGTTTAAGTAGGTTTTGTGTTCGAGAGGTTCGAGCATGGAATTGTAAAGTTGCCTGCCAGATGAAATACCTTCTGGTTCTTTGTTTGCACGAGAGGGTTGACACTTGGACGCGCTGAGCAGAGAATCGGAACTTTCGTCGCTGGTAAAAGTGGGTTCATCAAAAAATATCTCCTTGTTGTAGTAGTCCTCGTTGGGAATGTACAAATGGACAAGGCTTCGTGTTTTTCGCGGAGGTTGTGGATGCAGATTTGAAGGTACAATCTCGCATTCGCTACCGATGACGGAATCATCGATTGAAACATTGGAATCAACACGCATTTGGATTTTGCTTCTTGCTTGCGCCTCTTCAATTTGTACCTGATTCAAACGCTGACTGGACTGCATCTGCTTTTTGTAATCTTCACTCTCTGCATCATTTATGATATTCTGGAGTTCTTCGATGACTTCCTCGATAGTAGTTTCTTCCTCGTCGACTATATGCTCGTCTTCAGGATCGTCAACCGGCGATTCTTTCTCAATTTCCAAAGTTTCATTCTGTACACTACAAATTTCATAAACTGATGATTCTCTTTCCAGCTCTTCGGGAGTGATGCTGCGTTCGGATGAAGATATGCCTTCGTCTTCAGGCGCGGAATGATCTGAATATAACAAATAAAATTGAAATAGAACAACGAATTATAAAATTGACAAAAATCACCTTTATGAGTGATACTCAATGTAGTTTTTTGTAGTGAAAGATTACTCGACGATTTAAGCGATATGACTTCATCCTGTAGCTCACTACATCGTTCTTTCAGACACTGCTCCAATGAAATTAAAATCCCCTTTTCCTCCTGTAGAATTTGCACGCGCCTCTCTAAAAGAAGTACTTTGTCTCGTAATGAGTCGTTCTCCTTTTCTAAGTCCTCCAAACGGATGGTCAGACTTTCTGCATCAATGAGATGTTTTTCCCAATCGTCCAGTTCGCTGAAGATTTGTTCAGCGTATGGGGAGTTAATACTTATATTCTAAAACACATTGGTCATTTAAAAACAAATAAAATCGGAAGCAATGTTTGCAAAATAATTACTTTTTTAATGGAAGCGAGATCAAATCCGGCCTGTTCCAATTCCGCCTGAATGTACAATCGACGCTGGATGCTTCCGGATGAAACAAGGAACGTGTTCAAGAACTTCATTCCCGTATACAATAGCTCGCCGTGTCCGCCCGCTGAGGTGAGCATGCCCACTAAGAAGCGAAACCTCACCGGCTCGCCGAACCGCAGCCGAAGTGTAGACAATGCTTCGGACACGGACGAATGGCCGTTGCTTGTTGGCTCACAAGACTTTGTGAGTAACTGCAAGAAGTTGAAATATTAATATAATGCACATGGTTGCTATATATTTGGCTTTCAATGAAGTATGTATTATTTACCTGCAAGGCAATTATTCGGGATTTGTTGACGTTGCTCATGATGCACACCGCCAATGTGAACAAACCGGCCGATGAAGCTGTGAGTTTTCGAATACTCTCCGAATATCGAATACAACAGTACAGTAAGCACTGTAAGCAAGTAAGTTCGTCCAAAAGTGCACGGCGCTGAATTGCCGGCGAAATTTTCCCGGTGGTACCCGTTGAGCCTGGAGCATTGTTGGATTGACTTAACTGTATCGCGCGTAAAAGTTCCAATAGCAAGGTGACGCCATCAAGCGGTTCCGCAACAAATTCTTGAATGAAACTAAAACAAAATTTAAAAGTTTTAAATTAACTAAGTGCGTTGCGAGGGAGACATTAAAAATATCCGAGCGGGCCGTGTTTGTTACATTTTTTTTTCACTAACCTAAGGTCAATACACTAAACGTTCATTTTCCAAATTTATTCCCGAGCGCAGCTATTTTATTTTATACCCGCATTTATTATAATTTATACACTACATCAATTTCGAAGCACATCTCTTGAAAACACTTCAAATATAAACGATTTTCTCATAAAAGATGGCATGTCCCAATCAGTGCAATACGTGCCCACCGACCGAAAGGGTCCCGCAGCTAGTGCAAAACCCCCCATGCCCGGGGGTGACGTGCTGCCCCCCAGGGTGCGTGGCACCCCGACGCATGTGCCGCTACATCCAGCCGCCGCGACCCATTTCCTACAAGCCAGAAATCGCCTATCGCCCGCCAATGCTCAAAATGGACGACGACACCATCTACCGCAAGTCCTACCTGCCGGTAGACGGAGACAAGCCTGTCCCCATTCGCCCTCCGCACAACCTATGTATTGGTCAGGGCCGCATCTCCGACGATACCATCCATCGTCTTTCGTACATGGGCCATGCTGTACCGCCACCATGCCCAATCATTCCTTGCGAGCACAAGATGATCGGCGAGGGTCCCATGCAAATCGTCACAACCAACCGGCACGACTATGTCCCGAAGCCCTTCTGCCGCATGCAACCATGCTATCCGGCAAAGAACCTCTTCACGTCCGACTGTCCCCTGAGCGACCTCACCACCAATCGCTTGTCGTACCTGCCTCTGAATGTGGACAATTTCAAGGTGCATGCCATCAAGCAAGAAGATGCCATGGACAAACCATGTGGTATGCTGATTGTGATTGTACATTGAAGGACAATTCAGTTCATGTTATTATTATTATTTTATTTGTTTATAGGCCGCATGGAAGACAATACGGTACAGAAACTGTCGTATCAACCATGGCAGCCGCAGATCCCGGAGGAGATGCCATGGAAGGCGCGCCCATCATATGCTCCTCCGTGTTTACCCATGGAAGAGCACACGATCCATCGGCTGAGCTTCCAACCTCCAGGGCAGTTCGTAGAGTGCCCGGGTGGACCAGATTGCGTCCCGTGCCCTGAGCAATCATGCACCTTACCCGCATGCACTGCTACATGCTGTTGCCCCCGCGCAGCATGCTAAAGTGCAGATATTCTGCACTGCATTTTCGAACATACAAATTCTCTGTTTGCGTGCGTACATAATGTATTCCGTATTTATTTCGATCCTTTCATTATCAATACTGTATATGTTTTTTATTTAATAAAATTTGCAATGTCAACGACAATTGTTTATATCTTTTCTTTTCTGATCGGGATACCTTTTTCGTGGTTGCTTAGCTACCATTTAACTGTCACGTCAATAAAGAAAACCTCATACACATTTATATTTTCCAAATTCAAGTATAATATTTTCGGTCATCGGGTTGGTTTTCACCACCAAATTTTTAACATTCTAAAACGATACAACTGTATATTCATTGGTGACAGTTACCAATGTTAGAGAATGCAGTTGGAAAAACGCGTGCGTTTAGGATTAGCATTCAAAATGATGCAAAATTAACGAGGACGCGTTTTTCGTACTCCTTACACAATCAAAATCTAAACCAAATGAATTCTGCGGAGTGTGGTTTCGCAGTGATTCACTTCAATCCCAATAAAGAACCTAGTATCAAGCCGCTGAAGGAAATCCAACCAAAAAGCCTAATATTATCCTCGAGAACAGAAATCTCCCACGACGAAACCGTCAAACTCGCCCGTAAGTCTGCCATTGCGGGGGTAACAAATCTTTTAGCCAAATTCAACCAGATATGCCAAAATGATAATTGCGGTGTTGTTAATCAAAATCATAAAAGCGTTTTAACAAAATGCAGTTTTCCGCAAACCTTTGAAAATTTGAATATGAATAGCACAGTTAGGTTGCCGTGCGGATCAAGAACTTTCGCCCCGAAGAAAGGGGGCAGAAAATACAATCCCAATGAGAACAGTTATCACGTTGATACACAAATTACTGATGATGCAATATCAGATACTAGACTGTAAAAAGGCGTATAAAACAGGCGGCATTTTGGAAACTAAAAGCTTTGATAACCTGCGCTTCCTACAATGCAGCAATGGAACTAAATTAGAACATAAAACTCGAATTGCACGAAGAACTTTTTCATATGAGTTTCTCGGTTTCTTTTTAGGTGAATCCAAAATTGCCCATAATATTTTTTTGTCAATATTCCCCCAAGCCAGGGATGAAGCACCTAGAAAATCTCTGATTAAAACTTCCGGTTATAAATTATCGACGCAGCAAGGAAAGCCTTGCCATCACCAACTGATCACAGATTCGCAAGTTCGACACAAATCAAGCACGATCAAACCTCTCAGTTGTCGCGACAATTCAATTCATGCATCGCAGCATATTCGCAAAACTCAAACAACAAGTAAGAGAGCAAATGTTTCCCCGAGAACATCAAGCATTACAAGATCTTCAACAGAAATGCGAGCTATACCCGCATTTGATTCTAGCCTTCCTATCCAAAAACCTTCATACACCAACTTTTGTTTGAACAACAGCGCAAACCTACAAATACCCAATTAGTTGAATACTAGATATACAACAATTTTTAATGAAAATGAAGGCAAGAAGCAAAAAATGCAAGGCATTAACAACGCATTACAAAACGGGAAACAACATTGCATTAAAACATAATTCAGACATCAATGAATCCAGACATAGTACTCATAAGGCTCTAGGCGCTCTAGATGCACATGAGGAGAGTGAGCATTCCAGCGACTTCAAATCATTATCAAAATCGACCAATAAGACAAGCCAAAGCAAGCCAACAAAATCAACGTACAGTTCGAAGATTGCAGAGAAAGAAATCATACAATATTGGCCGACAGCAGATAAATCTCCTTTAAAAAGTAACACACGTGAAGAGGTACCTCTGCATGTTAATTCCTCAACATCCCTGGAAACAAATTTGATTCAAGTATCTTCGATATTGGTTACCAATCGGGATAGTCATAATGGTAAACAAAAAGATTTAGCTGATGTCAAAAGCAGTCGCACGTACTCATCCGATCTTAGCCCCAGTGCAATCACACAGGATTCATTGCTCACTTCTAATAAAGACAGTTCATCTACTACAGGAGAGCTGGCAGTACGGGTGCGCTGTGCTAAAATACATAAGACTACCAAAAGCACGCAAGTAACTGATATAGCTCTGCAATGCACTCTGCACAAAAAGAATAAAGCTACATTTTGTCAATGTCAGATTCTTTGTCAAACACAATCCATTCAAACAATGCCACCACCGAAGAAAGATCATAGATTAAATATATTTACAAATGCATTTGAAGTATTGTTCTCACAGAAAACTAGGACCGAAGCCTATGAAGGTATCGCATCTGTACCTCTAAGTGAAGGATCTTCAACAACAGTATCGTCATATACTACCATGGGACCTACTAGCGCTGACCGACAAATAAAATGCTGGGCGGAAATCAATAATGAGAATGAAAATAAGTTTAGATACCAGATACAAAAGAAAGAACCAGTTAAGGTTAAATCTGAATCCATCGAAACAAATATATCCTATTCGCATTCAACTCCAGCAACGCCAGTAAGCAGCGTTAGCAGTAACACGTTTCAAATGGCCCAAAGTGATATAATGGAAGAAGAGGCTGCACTCCGGGATTTACGAGATAGAATAAATGCGAAATTTTACAATAATGGTGCATACAATGCGCCCCAATGGTCCCCACCTGCGTATCCTCAACAAGCAAGGTACCAAACCCCACTACAAATGTATCAACAAGCTCAGCAAGGGTATTCATCCACAAAATATCTTCATCAGTATCCACCACAACAACAAGCTACATATATCAACCAGCAAGATAAGGGATATTATACCCCCATTCCTAATATGGAAGGATCTAGGAACCTTTGGAACCATTATCAAAATGACAACATTCCATTTGAGCACTTTCCTCAAAACGATATGGAAAAAACAAAAATTTGCCAAAAGAAGTCGCTCGCAAACGTACCCAGCACTGCATGGTATTCCAAAACACAGACACTTTCTCAACCAAGATCGAAGAGTATAGATAACTTCTGCACTCAAAATCAGTGTGAGTATCAGCCTATGATGTATGCTAACGCGTCGCCGTATCCAATGGGTCAAATGTATCAATATTACAATTATGAACAACCGCCATTGCAAAGAGATTTCTATTGAATAAAATAAGAGTGAATTTTAAGGACCACTTTGTTTTTTGCTTACCTTGGATAAGCGAGTCGTAGATCATTCTTCAACTTGGCCAGGAGTTCGGTCACCGTGCCGAACTGGCGTAGAGTCATTTCGCTGCCGTTAGAAGTGAGCATTGGATTTCGGTAGTCGCGGTAAGAGCCAGTCTGTGGTTTCTCCACGTCTGCCGAAATGTTGATGTTGCTGTACAAACTAGGCGCATTATTGGGATTCATATTAGGACGGCGTCCCCATTTTTTAATAGACAACGCATAGTCTTCCGGATTGTAGATCGGTGCGCGTTGCTTCTCCTATCAAAAATTGTCAATTACATTAAAAGGTCTAATTGTTTCAACAAGTTGATAGCTTACCTTTGTGAGCGTTTCTTCGCCCCATTGGAATGTTGCGATGCGCCTGGATTCCTCCGAATTCGGCGCCATGGTGTTTACACTTCCGGTGTCAAAGAGGTTACTGAAAACGAGAAACTTCATTAGGTAAGTGTACATTGTACAAGGAAATGCACTATAAGATTATGTCCGTCACGAAATACAGTGCTAGCGCATAGAAATGCAAATCGATCGAAGAATTCATTACAATAAAGATGCATAACGTGCTCTCGAATGGGAACGCGACCTGCTCGCGATTCAATGCGAAACAATGCTAGACGTAAATCCGATTGCATCATCTACAATTTTCATACTTATGATGCTTCGTTTTTGCGTCTCGTCTCGTTAAGATTAGATTTTAATTAATCCCAGTCAAGCCAGACTTTTCTTGCCAGCTTCTGACTTGCACTGCTCACATGCACATTGTTTGTTTTATCATTTAGATAGTTCTTATTATTCTAGAAAGAAATAAAACTCAGGCACTTCAAATTGCATCATTATTTAGGATGTCAAGAAACAGTGAAACAATAATAAACACACATGTTATAATGTTGAAAGATGAATTAAGTATTCAAGACAAAAATGAAATATATGAAGAAATACTTCATACGTACACTGCATATTATGTCAAAACATTTTTCGCATGTAATATTTCTAGTAAGTTATTCTAAATATGTATACTTTTACCCACTGGTGACGAAAATATAACTTTATACACTATGATAAATTCTTGAAACAATTATATATTTCAATTTTCATTGACGATACGAGTATGTTGTCATTTTCTTTATGCTAAAAAAACTAAACATTGTGTAGGTTGGATTTGCGGAAGTTGTAATTACGACCAAAGCATCCGGAGTTTGTCCCAGATCAAGTGTTCTTTCTTAGAGTCATCGCGTCAAAGTGGTATCCGCACGCTTTATACATTGTCCCAAACAACCAATTTGGGTTTAGAGGCGTTACTAAAAATCATGGTGATCTTGTTCAGCAGTATCTTCAAGTTAACCGGCCGGATGGATAATGTGAGTATCCGGTTGTTGATTCACTCTTGTCACCACTGGATACTAAAGGATCCTTTTTCATAGCCGAAGTGAACTTTGCTAATGGTATGTTAACGTAAAAACATATGAACTACGTTTATATCATTCCATTACCCTATTTTATAACTACAAATTATGTAGTGCTCTTATATGACAATCAAATAAGTACAAATATAAACTACAACTAGATAATCACTTAAAATTTACTTGTCACGTCATTGTAGACGGACTTGACACTTTGATTTCTTGATATCTTTAGAAATATAAATCCTCTGTTCGTGTGTATGTGACTAAACTCCTCCTAAACGGCAGGACCAATTTTGATGAAATTTTTGGTGTGTGTTCAGTTGGGTTCGAGAATGGTTTAGATTTACAATGCGGTCTACTGGGAAATGTCCCAGTTCCAATTTTTTTCCAAAAATAAAAAAGTGCCTAAAATTAATTGGCAGATAGTCATTTTGTGACAATACTTATAAAAATGAATTTATCAATTTTGAAATAGAAACTGTGCGTTATAATAATGAATGTGGCACATATAGCTAAAGAAGTCTTTCAGGAATTACGCAAAAAAATCAGGAAAGAAAAGTCGGGACGAAGTTCGGCAGAACAGCTAGTTGTAATATATTATTCGCGGCGGTATATCACATTGTTTCGTGAAACAGCGTAATGGTTAATTGCGAAATTAACACGGCCCAATTTTCCAGAAGATGTACAATCAAAGTATCTTCCTAAAATTTCATCACAACTACGTTTTTAATTGTACATTTAAATATTCTTCATAACCGTTCTAAATTGTTGAAATAAATTAGGTACGTATCATTATCATATTAGCTGTACCAATTTTCGATACTATTAATATAGTAATTAATAATTCATAAACATCGGTAATTTTATAAATTATTTTCATCATTTGCTGCTTGCCGAAGAAATGAAAATGTATTTATTTAAAACACAATTCTATATCAAAAATGGCACAAGATGAAAATGAGGACTACGCAACCAGTAATGGGCATGGTTAGTGTCTAACGCAAATGAAGCGCGAAACAATAATACCCTGCGCCATTGGTTATTAGAAAGAGCTAAATCAAGGCCGTGACTAATGGCATCATCTTGCCCTCATGCCATCCATGATTTGTCGCTCGCAAATTTGCGACTCGCAGTAAATAAGATAAAAAGAAAACGGAATAACGTTCAAACCTACATATCGTTCTAATATACGGTATCATCGAAATGACTGCACTTGCGAATAAACAAGAAACATAAATAATTCACCGATGCGTAAATAACGCACCTAGAGGTACGTAAATAATTCAATAGCTCCGCCCATGTCGGTCTATAAAATAATTCAACAAATTATCCCATCGCCGAATAACAAAATCTCCGCGTGATTGATTCGGCCTTTTCATCATCCGCGCCTACGACAGAACTTTCATGTCGTTCAAAAACCAACAACCATTCATATTCATATGCGTAGCACGATGAAAATTTTGGTTTCGTTCCATGGATGAAAAGGCCACACGTCCATTGAAGAAACAGTTACGTAACATGCGCGAGCGGATGACATGGAAAACAGTTACTTCCAACTTCAACACGCGCGCAACAATCGACACCATCGAATTGTTTCGCCCGTTGACGGCGCTTTTCTGCTCGAGCCGGTTTGCATCGGGTGATAAAAGACGATTGTGCGCCATTGCAGAAAGAATAAAAACAAATAAATGATGCAAATTAAAAGACGAACGGGCGCGATTTCATTACGCAATGCAAGATGCAACTTGTATGCAACTACAAAGCACAACAACACATTCACATTCCACGATGTCTGTTCAGTTCGATCTGTTCAGTTATTTCTCGGTGCGGCGCTCGTAAATCAGGAATATGTTAACACAAATGCGCTGGATGCACGCCGCGCGGCTTTTTGTTGCATTGTTCAATCGTGTTTAGTAATAATGCGCTATAAACACAATTGGTAATTTGTTGTTAATCTAACGCGGTAGTTTAACACTAGAGAATGACCTGAGTGCATTCGCTTCACGACAAACGTTTCCTAGTTTTAATTCGCATATAATCAACATAAAACAATTTGCAGCTTGTTTCATTCCAGGATGAAGGAATTAAGGATCTGATCTACTACGTACTCACCATAAAAACTATGTATTATCCATGCTTTTTAACTCACTCTTCAAAATCAGCCAAAAAATAGCATTTCCAATAAAATTTTACTGATTAAATCATGCATGACCAATTTTAGTGACATTTTTAAGTGTTGCATATCTTCTTACTTCTCCACTCTTCATCCTGGATTGGTCCTCAGTGATGGTATCTTAACTTAAGAAAAACTAGCATTAAACCTTTTCTCAACATTTTTAGCGCGTTAGTGGAATCAGTTCATTGAGATTGTGAAAGGGTGGAAGAGTGGGACGTGTTTAATTTTGTAACTTTGATTCATCACGATTTGAGCCCGCTCTCGAGCGAATTAATTGCCGGAATCGCGTAATTGCGATTGGTGATTGAGCGCAAAAAAATATTCCGTCCGCATTGTCGTGGTTTACACCGCAGCACTATGAGTATGGCGAAGTCTATCAAGACGCCACGCTCTATAATTTTCGAGTAAAAGCTTTCTCTGCGCGCTCGCGATCGGGGCTCCTCAGCACTATGATTCGAAATTGGATTAACGTCCATGAGTCGGGACTCGTATGTCCGCGTGTCTCATGCACGCCTGCTAATTACATCCCAGACAGCTTTTGATGGTTGTGAAAATGGCGAGCTGAATGCTGTGCTACCGTGCGTCGTTTCTTCTATTCTCAGGAAATTCCCTCGTTCAGTGTAATTTGAGTTTATTTCCAGCAATCAGCTCGATAATCTGCATGCTCACGGCATTCTCAAGAGCAGCAACAAAAAAAAAAAATAAAGTTTTTGCCAATTGTGAACTTTTACTTTTTTGTCCTGTTTTTTATGTCGTAATTGACACGAATAAGACTTTTCACTGTTTTATTCTTACGATCGAACGGATACTAATGTTCTATGTTGTTGAGTTTTTCGAAGTTGTGCCTTTGTCTGGTTTAGCTCACAATTCAGATTAGTGTAATCATAATGTTCGTGACAGTGAGCGATGCGGACTTGCGGACAAACGCGAGCATGCACACGAAACGCGCAGTTCTTTTGTAATTTCGACGCGATTGTAATTCCTGATTCGTGACTTGATTCATCAGCGCGCACGTATTAGGAGCACGCCGTGGACTTATCGATATGCCCTGGTTTGCGCTCGAACACTCTTCTTTCGCTCGCCAAACTGGCCATGAAAGAATCATGTCACGTGTCATTGTTGCACCGCACAAAACGTAAATGAATGAACAATTAGGCCTTCTCAGCTTACTAATAACAATCAAATTGCCACCAATATTTCGAGCAAGTCCTTCCTCATGACTTCATTCATATACTGTTTTGCTGCCACTTGGGAACGCGCTGGTCAATTAAATATTACCGCTCGGTTTAGCTGAATGATGGGCTCTCGACGTGGCGCACACTCACCTGAAACAAAACGAAACAAAATTATTGCCATAACAATAAACCAAACGCTGTGCTTGTGCTAGGAAACAGGAAGTCGAAGTCCGCGGCGAACTGAATAGATAGTTGAATATTCAGGCGCACGGCCGATGTAATCATCGCGATTACAAGTAATTAATACTACATGCTGGCGCTAATTATTATTGCCATCATTAAATTTGCTTTATTTGCATTCGACCGTATGTTGCAAAATTGATTTGTTTTCATAATCAAGACGAGCATTGTAATACGCACACAGATAAACACATCCACACATACGCAGGACGTCTCGCTAATATTAATGCGTACGATAATTACGCCAGCACAAAGGTTCATTAACTGAAATTGTTATTGCTTAATTACAATTATCCAATGCAAAGTTTCTCGTTGCGCAGTGCATTTGCATAAAGGAGGAAAGAAACGTTGTAAAAGTACATAATTTTATTATAATAGGAATTGCATCAATATTTGTATCTGTCTATAAACAAATTAAGTAAGTGTA